TCATTGGTTTATAATTTTCTGAAACTAATGTGCTTCAATATGTACTCTTACTTTGTCTATTATAAGTATAGTACTTTTTCTTTATCCACTAAATATTTACAAGGCACATATTCAATTATAATGTTATTTGTTCATCCACCATTTATAACTGTTAACACCTTTTTACTATCTCCTCTTTATTTTTATTCAAATATAGTATTTGGTCAGATAAACAACTATAGATGAAGTCGTTGAATAATTAGCATCTTATATTGTATTCATGAGTTGATAATTGTACAAACAATGGCTAGGGTATAAAGCATGTGCACGCGACGATTATTCAAGCTGCGCCGGAGTTTGCGTAACCGTCATCTGCGATTATTCATAGTGGAGATAATTTTGAAATCAATTCCTGGTTTGCGTAACTATGTAGTTGTATGTGTAATTTTTAGGAAACATGATTGATGACAATAATTAAGTCGATGTGCAAATAGAGTAAAGAATAATTAGGTTTTTTTTACATACATTAATTCAAACAAGAAGAACACAAATTCACAAGAGTGGCTGTAAAAAAATGTAAAGTAACATTCTTAAATGATGTATTGTTTAAAATATGTTACTTTCTATCATTTTTTAACCAAATAATAATTGGTTTTTAGAACAGAAACATGGGTTAGTGGTCGATTCGCACAAATTTGTTCGCAAGCATTGTGTGAAACGACATTTAATTATTTTTTTTAGTGGTCGATTTTTACAAACTGAATTTATTAGTGTGCAGATCGACACCTCTAAAAAAATGTGGTGTAAAAGATTTAAAGATTTTTCAACTTTGTGGGGAACGGGTTAGTCGAGTGGTTCACTAGCTCTCCTACTATTAAGAACTTCAAAGATAGGTTTTGACTTGCTGGTAACTATGGTCTGTTGTATCCACTTACTATTTGACGATCCATTTGCTCATTTGCCCACTAGTCGTTCTATATAATAACAATTACTTGTCTCCATGTACATGCACCAAAATTCCTATCATCATAACAATTTATTTGATTTCGTTAGATAAACAGTGGGATAATAAAATAAATCGCAGTTTATTCGCTCATAAATAATAATGATTTTCAAGTTTTTGTAACAGTAGCTATAGGTATGGTGACGTAGACACGCTAGTGCGTCACGCGTAAGTACCTTTAGGTATTCTAATCGAACAGTTAATAGAAGATTTATACGGGTGCTGGAAGACAAAGTTGTATGGATTAATTGCTTCAGGTCAGGCCTCGATGCTCATCACGGTATTTGCAAGAACATTTACCTAAATACGAGTATGAGCCATTAAATGAATTATCTCACTGCCGCTTTGTCTCCGTGAAATATCCTCAAACTTTCATAATTTCATTCATTAGGGACTTTCACATTCATACAATTATTGTAATGATTACTGGTATATATTATACGAGTGTGTATCTAACTACGTACCTTACTATAATCGAATTCGTACGTAATGTGTGGGTCAGTCATCTCGCTTGTAAGGTAGTTTTAATGTGCAAATGACAAAAAGAACAAATTTCAGTTTCAGCAGTCTGTAACCATAGTGTCATATTTAGTGACTTATTTTTATTTTATTTTCCTTGTCAAAATTGATTTTCCTCGCATCTTAGCAAGAGCAAGTATAGGTTTCTTTTCTTTGCTTATAAGGAAGCACGTACCTTCTCTGCTTATTTACTAAAGAGTATCCTTATCGCTTCGTAGGAAATGTCATTCAACCCATCGAACGCTTCCGTAAAGGATAACTGATTTAGGAAGCGAGACTTGATTCATATATTTAATATTAAATCCTTATCGTCTTGAATGCCTTCGCACTACCAGACATATGATTTATTCTGCACAATCACTTCCTATGTAAGAGATAGACAGAGAGAGAGAGAGAGAGAGAGAGAGAGAGAGAGAGAGTAATTTATGTATCCCACCGAAGACATCGTCTCGGCTTGTCAACATTTTCATGTAAAATGGTAGTGAAGTTAGGGTGTTTAGAGTTATAGATTGGCTTGGGTGGGACTTCACTTCGGGGGTAGTCCGGTAAATGGCACTGTACGGTGCACCGGTGTGGGCAGGGGCTCTGATTGCCTAGACAGAGGATACCGCACCGTTTCGCCGGGGGCGGCGTGCGCATTAGTCGGTGCTCCCCCGTGGGATTTGGAGGCGGAAGTGCTTGCCGAAGTATATCGGCGGACGGCTGACTTTCGGTAGAGGTACGCGAGTGGCGTGAAGGTTCGTTGGTCATCCCGTTTGGAGGTTCCACGTATTGGCTTTGCCGCCGTTAACCGCCCTCCAGCCGGTTATCGTCAAGTGGGCAGGGCAACAGCATAGGACCCTTTCATTCCGACTGACGATGGTCCTTTCCGAGCACTTCTGCTTCAAGAAGTACCTGCACTCGGTCGCTAGGAGGGAATTGAGTCCCTCCTATCACCACTGCAATTGCACTGAGGACTCGGCTCAGCACAGCACAGCACGGCTCAACACAGCGAGGAGGGGTCCGGATGTATTAACAACAGCAGTTCCCAGCACTGTGGCACACCGTGTGGTTTTAGTCGGTTCAATTCCAACACACCACCCCGCTACAAACCCCGAGGGGGTTTCCACATATAAAAAAAGGGTTAGATTTCACTTCTTTTTGGAAGTTGTTTACGACATTATTTATAACAAGGATAACTAGCTGTACCCTGCTTTGCTTCGCTGTGCCACATTGTGGTTGCATGAATGATAAATGATGAACAAAAATGACGTGAAAAGTAAAAGTAAAACCTTCTTTGAAGCGTGTGGTATATCGTGTCAAAATTTGAGTTCAATCGGTTGATAACTTTTGAGGTTTTGAGGTAAACACAAACCAACTTAGCATTTTTATATCTGGGGAAAATTATTAAGATACTTCTTCATTCTAATAGTTTAAAGTGTTACCCTCCCTCCCCCCAAATCACTTAAACTAGGGGTTGGAAGTTTGTATGATTGATTGATTGATGCTAGAGGTCTGAATATTAGATATGAATTTAGCGAATCGGTTGCAAAATGCTGAATCGGGTGCTGAACACGACTAGTGTTGTTTTTAGATACATATAATCAAATAAATACGTGTGATTTAAAAGTACTAAATACATATATTACTGGTAATAATGTGACCTTATTGACTTAGTAAAAGTTATGAAGTATGAGACATTGAAATCTGCCAGTTTAGGAATGAATAAGTCACAATTTTTTCATTTCTTAACCGATTTGGAACTTTTTGAGGAGATTTGGAAATAAACATGAAAGTAATTCCGTAACAAATTAGTTTTGTCTAAATGTTTTGTAATTTCATTGTGCACATATCTCTGTAGCCCAATACAAACACCTAACAAATATTTTAAAGAATAGAACAAGGTCAAAACATGATTATGTTATTCAAAGAGTTATCCTCTAACTCCTAAAAGTCAAAAACCCTTCCATCATCAGCTCAGCAACATGAGATAATAACTACCAAATACCTGTTTCGCTAGAGAAACAAGCTATAACACGTTGTCGGGTCTGTTAAATTTGGGGGTTTCGGTATCGGATCTTAAGTTGGTATTAATGGCACCATCTCGGGACTATACCCTTTCGATTACAAAAATACAATTTTGAAGATCAGTCTACAATTGACGGAGAAATCGCGTAACAAACATACAAAAAAACACAGTCGAATCGAGAAACTCTTCTTTTGTGTTTTTGAAGTCGGTTAAAACACGTATTATTGTATAGTTTTAGTGCTCATCTCCAGTCTTTATCATCGGTTCTATTTTGTTTAATACTATTTTTCAACAACAAATGCACGAGTTACAGTAAATACTAATCTCTATCCGCGAGCGATCAGGATAGCTAGTCCTGACGACCGTGGAACCAACTAGATATGAAATCAAATCAAATCAGAGCAGCTATCTTCGAGTACCTCACATCAAAAACTTATTCTTCCTCAGAAGTCGATTAAACTAAACGTACTCGTAACATTACATAACACTAAATAAAGTCTCGGCTATAAATCTTAACTCTGTCAAAGGCGTCTTAGATTAAAATATTTATAACAGTAAAGTGAGTAGATATTGTAACTAGATAAGTGTGAGAGTGACTCAATAGCAAATGGTTCTCAGATTTTAGTCATTTATATGCTGCTTCTTTCTCTAAATATCTTTCTTACCTTGACTTATTGCCAAATATATTGTCAAGTGATAGTTTATTATCAATTTTTAAATGCCAAACACTTTTTTAATAAATTCTTAGTCAGTTGAATTAGTCTGATTTAACTCTGTTAAATACATTGTAATGAAAAGCATTGACAAACTTTCAGTTGATGTAAATTGCTTGTCTCTAAGTTCAAAACAAAATAATGTGAAATCCATTACAAATCTGTTAATTAATTTCGCTTAAAGTTAATTTGTCATTAAGTATTTTAAATAATCCAATTTCGATCGTTTAAAGGTTTAATCTATTTACATAGTTTTCTTTGTATAGTGCTTATGTCTATTTCTATCTATTTACCCGGTTCTTATTGAGATCGTGAAGTGTTTTACTACTCTAGGAAAACTTGCTCTGAAAAATTAAAACTTAATGCTGAAGATTAAAAAAGAATGAAGGTTACCAAGGAACCAAGTTACTCTAATGTCTTGGCTTCATCTTCAATCATTACCAAAATATCGTCTTTTTAAGTCAAATTTTCTCTGTACGGACTGGAATTAGTTAGTGGATGATAATAATAAGATAGAACGTAGGTTCTATCTTATTATTAAACCTTAACCAATTTTAAAAAGAAAACTACATGGAAATGGTTATTAGACAGCCTTTACCAGGTTAAATGTAAAACACAAAGAATCTCGTACTCCATCTAATGATTCAATTAATTGATCACGGGTCCCTAATTAAGACTACATCATAACGCAATACTATTGTTTATTATATCCCGATGTCTATTATACTGTAAAATGTCGTCACAATGGCTAATTAATTCAGTAGTGAATGCAGTATAAATGGTGTTATGGCATGGTGCAGGTGCCACAGCCCAACAAAGGGTCGAACAGTGCTCACGGAGAAGTTTGGTGAGTAAAAACCGTTTGATGTTATGCGTGACCAACATCGATGTAATTGTGGATTTTTTTTTAATTAATTGGAATTTAACATCTACATTTGAATTTCAAATTTATTAGTATGTATAAGTGTATGTATGTATAGTAATTTCAAATGTGAAAGTTAGTGAGTGGAAGTGCCTGTGTGTATGTCAGTAAGTATATTTGTATGGACATCACCAAATGCTAGATGGAATAAGTTGAAAGTCAACTGAGATTCATTCGTGGAGAACCCCGACCGATAATATTTTAAAATTATTTTATAGTTTTTTTTTTTGGTATTTTTTGTAACTCCAAAAACGTAATTGGCAGAAGATCGCATTTTATTTTACGAGCAGTTTTTTAGGATAAAATCAAACTGCATATTAAATGTAAAATATATTATATATTATTTTAATGTCTTGATTAGAATGAATGTTTCCGGTCATTATAATATTGAAAAAAAGTGTTAAGAAAAGAAATGCTAGTCATTGTGAGACTAGTAAAATTAATTATTTTTCTGCCGTGCCTATTTGATATTCATTGATGACAGGAAACCGAACTTATTAAATTTATAGCTTCTTGATTTGTGCACAGGATGGATGAATTTCATTTCTGTTTGTGTTTACATACATACATACATATCTCACATATTGTGACTTTGACAACCTAATGGCGTAGTGGTTTGTGTAACGGACTGCTATTCCAAAGGTCGATTCCTGCTCAAGTCAAATATTTGTGTGCATAACCATTTAATTTTTGATTTGGTCTGGGTGTTTCTACAACGCAACGCCACACAACGCCATCTAGTCACAAACTAAGCAGAGCTTGTACTAAGGGTACTAGACAACTGGTATATATAATAATACATACACAAACCACTACGCCATTCGGTCGTCAATAATATTATTATGTAAAAGATATTACTGCTGTTACATAGATTTATTAAAATTTGGATTTATTTAAGTACCATGATAAGTACTTAAACTCAGTTTTATTCCTATCCATATTCATAATAGCTTGGCCGCAATATTTTTATAACCACCGGATAAGGCTCCGTGAAGATAAAAATATATAGTCACGTGTCTAAAAAGTGGGTATACGAGTATTGTATAAGAAAATATATGGATACAATTATGAAGTATTTGAGTGAGGTTGTATAGGCATGATGAAAATACATTAGACATTAAATGGATAAGGAAGAAAAGTTGTAGTTGACCTTCATACTTATTTGTATGTTGAATACAGCTTTTCGTAGCGCGTCTCGCTGCCACCCCGGCATGCTTCTGCTAGAGGGTTCTAAACCTCTCCCGTTCCCGATCCGCGATCTCTTTCGCAAGCATAACTTACTCGCAGAAGGAGACGGCGGAGTTCAACGCACTCTCGCTTCGCACCATGGCCGCAATCATGTTACCCAGGTCACGTCTTTGCTCTCATTCTGCCAGCGTGTAGACCGCCGTGTCCACGGTCCGGCCATCACAGTTGGGGCACTCAGGCGTTGGCTTCTTGCGGATCAGACACAGGTGATCCCCGAAACATCCTTTCCTGGTCATCACCTGCGTCAGCCGATATGAGAGGGTCACGTGCTGCCACAATAACGGTTGTCCAAGTCGTTCCTACCACTCCTCTACGAGGACCTGGTGGAGTTGGGACTTCTGCTCCTCGATTTCTCGAATCTCGGTCCTCGAATATGTTCCGACCCAACTCCCGCGCCACCTTGTCCTACGGTGGAGTTCTGGCCAGAAGACTCGCCGCCTCAAAGGAGATTGTGCGGTAACCCCTGATGACCCTGATGGCCAGCATTCGCTGCGGTCGTCGCAGTAGCGCGAAGTTGCTGGCCCTGCCTGGACTGGGGAATAATAAAGGACCATGGACCACACAAACCTCGAGTAAAGTCTCCTGCAGGAGTCATCGCCACTCTGCGCGCTGCTCCAACCAATTTGGGGATCAGACGAAGATCCGAAGTCCTATCGGCCAACGATTACGAGCCCCAGATACCTCATTGAGGGCTCGATGCCGATGCGAGTGCCTCCTACTATGAGGCTGGATCCCTCAGGTGGCTTCAAAGTACAAGGCCTCAGATTTGTGAAAAGCCACCTCGAGACCCAGCCGCTGGATCCACTCAACGACTTGGGCAAACCCGGCCATGGCCCTTAGGGTTGCTTTACGATGCGTCTTGCCGCATGCCGTCACAAGTATGTGGTCCTCGGAGCACTATTCAAGAAGGCACCGCGAAGCAACCCAGTCTTAGCCAATGTTACACAAGAGTAGTCCTAACTCCTGCCCCTGTGGAACACCGCACGACATTTCACGTCTACCGAGACCGGTCCTACTTATGTAGACTATGGCTATCTCCTACAAATTTGGGCCTAATATGCATCGGGGGTAGAGAGGCACTAAAAAGTTAAATACTATTAGTTTTACTTATTAGTTATTTGAAAATAAGTCATCATTCTCGAGTTTTCCTGAGACCGACACCCGCTGCTATCTCGTCATAAATTCTTTCGAGTTTTTTTTCATGTTTATGGTTCAGGTAGTTCGTAAACCTGAAAAATTTGAAGTGAAAATTATAGCATCTAAAAGAAGATATGGCATTTTTTATAGGCAACGAATCTTGAATCATAGACAAAGGGACAATAGGCAATCAGAATTTTAATCACAACACTGTATGCCCATGAACCACCAACTCTAACAATCACTTTATGCTCTACGGTGACTTCTCAGCAATTGTTGGTTCCATTATAAAGGAGTGGAAACATTATAGACGATTGATTAAAATAAATTATTTGCATGATTTAATTGGCTAATTGATACTCTATGCAAGTAATAATTGTCTGCATTTAGACAAATTGCAGTTATTTTTTAGCATGATTTCAGTTAGATTTATATCACATAGTTTATTTTTTTGCAATAAAATTGACTGTACTACTATAGTTTTTTTTGGAAACAAAAATAGTTGTAATAACCTGATCTAGAGGCACCAGCATGTACTAATTAGTCAGTGGTTCACTACTACTTAACTAATAAATAGAACAAAACATTTTAAATCTTTTATCAGTATATTGAAATTGAGTGGGAAAAAACTCCTTACTTATTATATATAGAAACTCTTTATATAGAACAGTTTCAAGAGAAGTATTGCTTTATAAATGTTAACGACGGACTATTAATTTCTAAAATGTGAAATAAAATTTGCATTCAGAGCATTCATACATGCGTTATTTTAAATTCAAATTTACACTTAATTGTTGAATATGCGTTAAATTAATTGTAGATTATAATATAAAAAATATGTTCTAGAAAGAAACAATATTAAAATATGTAACAATTTCGTAATGTGTCTCAAATTAATATTTAAAAAATATTTTTTCAGGTAAACATGAAGCTAATTATTCTTATTGCATTGTGCGTGGTGATCGCCACAGCTAAGCCGGCCACTTACACTGACAAATGGGACAATATCAACGTAGACGAAATTCTTGAATCCCAACGTCTTATGAATGCTTACGTCGATTGCCTACTTGATAAAGGTCGCTGTACTCCTGACGGAAAAGCATTAAAGGAGACTCTTCCTGACGCATTAGAACATGAATGCTCTAAATGTACGGAGAAACAGAAAATCGGTTCTGATAAAGTCATTAAACATTTAGTAAACAGACGACCTGATTTATGGAAGGAGTTATCAGTCAAATATGATCCTGAAAACATATACCAGGAGAGGTACAAAGACAAAATTGAAGCCGTCAAAGGCTAAGCTTTATTAATATAATAATATAATCTTACAGGCTATGTATGCATGTAGTGAAGGGCTACGGGAAGAAAATTGAGATTTAGAATATATTGTATACAAAATTCACTAAAGCTTTAATTGGATATATAGAAATAAAAAAAAAATATGTGTGTTTATCAGTTTTTTGATTTAATTAAAATTAGACATGAATGTGTCATCAAAATGTGACATCTTAATGCCAGTTTAACATAAATATATCTAACAACTTTAAACAAGCAATTTCTTGTATAGGTAAATATATACAAGTATTATGTATTATTTTATGATTAGGATCAAATTTAGAATATATAGTTACGGTTTTCGTTTTTAAGTGTATCTACGTAGGGATCACAAAAAATTACTTAATGAACTTAGTTATCATATGAATTAGCTAACGAGGATGCCAAAAGGTTTACGTAGCTAAAAACTCATTAGCATGAGTTTAAGCTACGAAAAACTTTTCAATCATCATCAATTATCGTCATTCATCACTTGGATCTAACTTAGCAAGTATAAATTACTTTTATGTTATTCTTCTTGAAGAAACTTGTCAAACGAGTCTTTGAATTTCTGGCCTTTGTCATATTTTTGGGTTAGTTGCTCCCAAGCTTCAGGGTGGCGTTCTCTTACAGCTTTTATGACCTCTTTGATCAACTTTTTCTGTTTTGGACTGCACTTCCCACATGTAGTTTCAAGAGCTTCAGGTATTACTTCTATTGAAACAGAAATAAAATCATATTTGTTTACATCCATTATCATGTTTTCTTTCAAAATATTTTAGATTCAAAAAAAATAAGAGCATTGATCAGTGCGATGGGAGTGTTATTTTGTATTTCATATAAATTATTTTGAAAAATAGTATGATACGAGCGGACTAGTATGGCTCCTCCGAGTTTTAAGTTTAAGTTGAATGTTTGCATCTAGCTCTCTTCCAACTCAACCAATTTAAGTAGCCTTAAACTCTTATGATACATTCCAGTGATTGTTTTAGACTAAGAAGAACAGTGTGGCTAGTGTAAGTCCATTCCACTTCTACTCGGTCGCCACGGTGATCGCGTTCGGATTGTGATTTGCGCGAACTAAGCTCTTCACCAAACACAACGCGGTCACCGTGTTGATGTGAAAGAAATTTACACTAGGCCCTTTGGTTATCTTAATTAGCAGCAGGGAGACACGACAGGTCGGGTTTTTAATAAGGAGTTCTTAAAACGAGACGTAGAAAAGTCTTGACGGTTATCGTTGAAGTGTTTTTATTTTATTGAAATCAACTTCAGCAATCTTAAGAAACAGTCAAGTCTTACTTTTGAAGTCTTTGGCATCAGGTGCACAAGGTCCTTGGTCGAGGAAGCATTTGGTGTAACTTAAAAGTATTCTATCATTCTCCAGCAACGGCTGAATGTCGAAATTGTCAAACTTTGAGTTGTAGAAATCAGCAGCAACTATCGCTACTAAGAAGAGCACCACACAGTAAACCTTCATACTGAACTAAAAGCAAAAATATTACATGAATATTAATTACAGAATAATACATTATGTATTAAAGTAATCATATCTATTTACATAAATGTTATGGATATTTTTATTAAAATAACACGTTTTTTTAACATAGATATTATAAATATTCTAAATAAATACACATATTTTAAATAAATAAAACACTGGTACGAAAAAAGAGGGTAGCCTCACAACAACAAAGGATTTGCTCTCACATTATACTCTCACATATTGTTCTTCGGGAGTATTTTCTTCTAATCGACTTGACATACGCGGCGTTGGAGGGTGCTATTCAACTAAAAGTGTTGGATTTTGTATTCCGAAGAGAATAACACGAGAAGTTGGAAGACATCATTATGACGTCGGCCCCCGGATTGCTCAGTTGGTCAGTCGTTCTTTTTACAACAACTGAGTTTCGCTGAGTGGTGCCTATGGAGTGTCCACCTGTGCAAGTGATTAAGTGGAGTTGGTGCCCGTTTTTTTTATCTACATCTATACTTCCCCCTATACAAGTCAAACTACTGGCGCCATCTCTTACACAGCGTTGGTACTACTTTCCGATCTGATGATCGATCGCAGCCAATTTCATCGCGGATTGACTCGTGCTCTACTGAGAGGGAGTTCCTGTTTCGGTCTTATAAAAGGAGGAGCACTGGGGAATCCATGCCCTTTAGTTGTTCTATTTTTGTCGCCGGCTATAAATGTACGTGGGGGCGACACCTGTCGCTTTAGTGCAAGTTCAGGAAATATATAATATTGTTACTTATTGTTTCTTTTTCAATTTCTTTTTTGGTGCTAATTCATGAATTATTAATATCGTTAGTTTTTTGTTAACTGTTTATATTAGGTCTTTACCTATGAAATTGCCGTTTTGTATGCAATAAGTGAAAGTACTTATTTTTTCAAACTTTTTTATTTCTGTTATTCGAAGTAATCACCCATGCAATCGACGCATCTTTGCCAACGCATTGGCAGTTTATTGATGCCCCTCTTGTAAAAATCAGATGGACGGGAGGCAACAAACTCTTCAAAGGCATTTTGTACTGCCTTTCGGGAATTGAATTTTTTACTCACTAAAAAAAAGTTGTCTAAATTTTGGAAAAAGTAATAGTCGGTAGTATTTTAAGTTGTGTACGTTTTGGTATCAAAAATCCATCATTTTTTGAGAAATTTTGACATTTTGGTTTGTTAATAAATTGTTAATTTTTTTCCAATTGCAATTTAATTAATGAATTTATGTGCTTTTTGTTTTTAGTCATGTTTAGTATTATTGGCCTGCGCTCTCTTATATTGTGACCTTATTTGATTATGATTTTAATCTGCTTTAAACTTTTATTTTATTTTTTAAAGACAACTCCCGCATTAGAAATAAATCATGTGTCGCGGGAGATTTAACAAACATACACAAAACAGACACAAAGAACACCCAGACTTAGAACAACAATTCCCAACCCCAACGCCATCCGTGCAGTCATTATATATACCTATATTCAATGTATATACTTTTCAGTTCATTTTCCAATTTATTTTTTGAGTGCCGATTTTTTTTTGTCAAGCAGATATGCTGGATCGAAAAACCCGGCGTAATTTAAATAATGTGTAAATAATTATCAATCTCGAAAACTTGACGAGCCCTCCTTAAGCACCGCTTTTTGTTACGTTTACGTATTTGTCGTATTATATTTAATTGAACACGAGAATATTATCGCATAATTCATTCACAATTCATTCGCCATGAGGACTTAAGTTATGCACAACAATACAAAATTTATACACGCGTCTATGGTTAAAATATATATATAGAAACAGGTACCCTCAACGACTACATATATTTTGTTGGTTAGCAATATAGATGTTATTATACCATATCTACCTGCTCTGTTCAGATAAGTCGAACCGGAATGCAACTGCGGGAGGATGACACACCTAGTTGTTTATAAAGCCTTGTTTGTCTTTGTCCATAAATGTCCACAGGCAAACTAACAATCATTTATTACAAATAAGCGACGTGTGCACAATGATAATGTGTACATTAGTAGTGTCAGTGTCGTTAATGTACCCGACTGACAAATGTTTACTATGCCTACTACTGTATGACCCTTGATTTCAATGAAATTGTAAATACGCTTCTGATTTTTTAACTATTTCCTTAATTTACTAACATTCTATTTATTAAGTAAAATTAGTCTTTCTGTGTTTTAAAAGGGTCTGTAGTATAATAGCAACACATTTGCGTAATATTTGCATACTCTTTGGTAAATGATGTTTTATAAAAAAAACTTTGACACTAGTATGTATTGCACCGTGTTATGGATATTTTAAATTTATATTACCAAATTATAAAAATAATCTCCTTATAATGCCAATTGAGTGTCGACAATCTAGTCAGGGGGGAAAGGGAAATCGTGGAATGTTTATAGAAAGGGATCCCAATATTGTTGCAGCAGGTTTGCCTACAGCACAACAAAACGACTCTGTTAGTGAGGCTTTGCAACATTACTTACTTAAAGATGAGGTTGATGCACTAACAGGCGATGCTATTATACCACCACCTAAGGAACGCCCAAGGCCTCCATTGCGTAAGCCAATTCCATTAGATTTGCGGCATTCGGGTCCAGCTGGATCACTAGTGGCAAAGGCGATAAGACCAGAGGTAAGGTCTAAATTTGAGAATCTCGTTAAAGAATTTAAGGAAACATCGTACCAATCTTACTGGAACGCTGCCGTCGGAGAGGTGAAGGATCCAACACCAATGCTACCAGAAGGTTTTGATATATATGGAACTACTTTTGGTAAAGCTACTCCTTTTCACGGAAGATTGTATGATATTGTTATGCCCAAGGTACCACACCCGGATAAAACTCCACCATCAAAAAATCTCTGTGTTCAGGTAGACCGCAAGTATTGTACACCGGCTTACAATCCTGAATTAACTTATGGTCATCGCACGTTTGTAGATAAACGAGGTACATATGCACGGTGTTGTTTAAGTGATGACAGAATTACATTAGGATCAGGTGGTAAAGCAATTGTAAGCTCTATACAATCTAATTTCATAGACGCTAATAAACCTGGAATAGGATTAGTTTTAGCTCCTAATAATAATATACGTGAGGTCCCTCAGGGATACGCTTTTGGTATACTTAAACCACCCGATAATGTACCAGAATGTTTAACGTTTTGTGAAATTAATAAGGCAGTTGGGTTTTTCAGAAAATGTCTGAAACATCTTAATACATTACGAAGAGGTTTATCAAAACGACGCTTACCAACATTCTTTTACAATTTCTATTTAAATCTTAAATTTCAAGACACAGAACACTGTGGTTGGTTGTCAAAGGACATCGTTTACAAACACTGTGGAATACAACTGATAAGATTTGATCCTGTATTACTGGAACCATTGCTATCATTATGGCATGCCTTTGATGGATCTAAAATAAATTATAAAATCTTTGTTCGAGTTATTAACTATAGAATACCTTCGCCTGAAATACCCAAAATACCTGATTTTCTACCGGAGTGCCTTGATTTTCGTACTACCTATACTGAAATGGTTAAGCCTGGGCAAACGCCTGATACCCGAAAAATGGCAGGATTACCATCTGGCAGATATTTGGATTTGGATTATCCTATATCGCCGGAAGGATGTTGTGCAGCAGACCGAATTTGTCTACCACAAGAATCTGACGTAAGAAGTTGTATCGCTCCTAGTATCCTCACACAAGTTTTTGTTAGTCATCGGGATATGTTCGAAAAACGAAGTCCCGAAAATATAAGAAGAGTCTTTGAAGCATCCGGAGAAAAATTCACAGACGATACTTTTGATGACATTTGGACAGAAGCTCAGAAGTTACATTCACAGGGATGGGTCTGTTACGAAACATTTCGTAAAGCATTAGAGACACACTCAAAGGACAAATAATGTACTGAGTAATTAATAATTTTCAAAACAGAATATTTTACTTTTTCTGTATGAGAACTTTGTGATTTATTTTTTGTTTTTATTATTATTTGTATATTCTTATTTTTATATTTTAAATGCTTATTTTTTACAAGACCTTTGATTTAGATAAATATTTGCAAAACTATTAATGTAGAATATACAAAATTTATAATTTGTATAAATATAATATTTTATGTATTTAATGAGTTGATTATTAAAACTGTAATATAATGTATTGTATTAATTTATCCTCGGTAGTTCTAACGGCCAATTTTCATTTTTCGAATAGGACACGTGACAAATACTATCTAGTATATTAATACGGAAAGAAAATACGTCGTGTGCCTTTGTGAACGAATATGGCGCATGAAAATATATCATTTTTGGACTACTTAATGTTTATTTGTAGAAGAACTATTCAAAGCTAAAATGCAATACGTGCTACAAATAATAATTTAAAAATCAAAAACCCGACTGCAAAAAGACAATTTAAGAACACTAAAAAGTCAAAAACAGCAGGAGGTCCGAGACAAACATAGTACATTGTTACGCTATCTAAAACTTTATAAAAGCCATTTACTATTCCATATTAATTACCTGTCGAAATTCATTCAGCCACTTGGAAGATACGAGGTAACAAATAAATTTAACAAACATACAAGATACGCGCGAAAAATATAACCTTCCTGGGTAGTCTTCTAATACGGTTGAAAATTATGTAGAAATGCCTACGAAAAAAACTATGGGAGTCCAGTGTATATATATACGTGTCCTGTCGTATCATAGCACAGAAGTCTACACAAGTCAGTTCAGCCCAAAGACTGTACAGCACAAGCACAAGTGGTACTCAATAAAATAAAAGACATTCGAAACGCAAAACGATCTCTAGTTCATGTTATTGTGTATACTATGAAATAGTAGTAGGCATCCTTTCTGATTGTCAATGGGCATTTGTTAAGATAAGACAAAATAATGTAAGACTGCAGCTTAGTCTATAATTATATGGCTAACAGGGAAATTTTCGGAACTGCTTCTATACTACAACTAGACACTTATTTTACGTAGACAATAATCTTCAACGGAAAGCTAATTATTCCACTAAACATTTACACTTTATATGTAGAGTTCAGAGTCGTGAGAGCGCCAATTATAGTTTTAGTTACACTTACGGAATATGTGTAGGTCAATTGAGTGAAAGTCAATAGTAGGATAATTTTGTAATGGATATTGATGAGTCATTTAATTTAACTTCAATTATACATCTGCCACACACTGCTCTAAATAACCCAAAGGTTGACTGAAAGATCCTTTCTATAAAAAGAAATAGGATCCCATAAAAAAATAACAATGTTATCATTTGTGGTCGACACAATGAATCTTCTTCTTCGATTGTTTTCTATCATAGGTCAGTTAAATGCTTACCCCATCCCTGTTTAATCCCTATTTAAATTAAAAAGATAACAGTTAAGAAACTGAAATCTCAAAAGTCGCAACGCAATCCTTTTACCCCAAAACGTTACTTGATCTAATTTGTTAACTAACAACGATTTCTAATCAACGTGTAATTAGTTTAACAACTTTTTTTATTAAATATTCTTGATGGTAGTTATATTTGCTTTAATTGAAAACTCGAATAATTCAGAACGAAACAATCATCTACAAAATCCAGAAGTTAATTTGCACAGACTTATGGAGGTTCAATACAAATCTTGATCTTTATGGTCTGCAACAATGAGGAAAAGAAATTGTGTATTAAAAGAAATAATAAAGCTTGTGGCGTAAACACTCTATTACTCTATGGAAAAGAAATTTGATTGCTTTTGTTGATAAAAGCATCTGAAATATTTTCAATATATTGATAGCGTTTAATTATGCCAATAGAATGCCGACGATCAACTACAGGGGGAAAGGGGAATCGTGGAATGTATATAGAAAGGGACCCAAATATCGTCGCAGCGGGTTTACCCACAGCACAACAAGATGAGAAGGTAGGTGATTTCTTGAAACATTATTTACTTCAAGAAGAAGCTGATGCCCTAATAGGCGACGCTATCATCCCACCACCTAAAGCTAGGGCACTACCACCACTGCGTAAGCCCATACCTTTAGATATGCGGTTTGCAGGTCCTAATTGCCATATGGCACAAACCTTAAATACTTCAGATAAAACAAAGTTTATGACTCTAATATCAGATTTTAAGGCCACAACGTATAGTTCGTATTGGAAGGCTCCGCTGGGACAGAGCAAGGATCCTATACCAATGCTACCAGCTGGTTTTGATATACATGGAACTACTTTTGGCAAAGCTACTCCTTTCCATGGACGCTTATACGATATTGTTATGCCAAAAGTTCCTTACCCTGATAAAACCCCACCATCAAAAAATGCTGGAGCTCAAATAGACCGCAAGTATTGTAAACCTCCTTATAACCCTGATTTAACATATGGTCATCGGACATTTGTAGATAAACGAGGTACTTATGCTCGGTGCTGTTTATCTGACGACAGAATAAAGTTAGGAGCAAGTAATAAAATGATTTGTAATACTGTGCAATCAGATTTCATACATGCAAAACAACCTAGAGTGGGTTTAGAACTGGCCCCTAACAACAACATACGTGAAGTACCTGTTGGATATTCTTTCGGCATTCTTAAACGACCTGATAATGTAGCCGAATGTTTAGCGTACTGTGAAGTAAACAAAGGAGTTGCATTTTTCAGGCAATGCATGAAACATCTCAATACTGTTCGAAAAGCATTATCATCGAGATATTTACCCACATTTTTTCACCAACTTTACTTAAGCTTAAAGTTTTATGATTCTAATAAAACTGGATGGTTACCAAAGGATATTGTTTATAAATATTGTAATAGTAAGTTGATTAGATTTGATCCTACACTAATGGAACCTTTATTATCAATGTGGCAAGCATGCGATGGAAATAATATTGAATATAAAACTTTTGTTCGTGTCATTAACTACAGAATACCTTCTCCTGAAATGCCAAAAATACCTGATCTCAAAGCAGATTGCTTAGAATATAGTACTACCTATAGAGAAATGGTCAAGCCAGGACAGGTTGCTGATAATCGTAAAATGGCAGGATTGCCTTCAGGCAGGTATTTTGATTTAGATTACCCAATATCGCCCGAAAGATGCTGTGCAGCGGATAGAACATGCCTTCCCCACGAATCAGACATGAAAAGTTGTATTGCACCTAGTATTTTAACAAAACTTTTCATCGACCATCGCGACATGTATACCAAACGGGATGCCAGTACTATTAGAAAAGTATTTGAAGCCGCTGGAGAACAGTTTTCTGATGAAAGGTTTGAGGCTCTTTGGAAAGAAGCTCAAAAACTTCATTCAGAAGGCTGGGTTTGCTTTGAAACATTTCGTCAGACATTGGAGAACTGCCCGGAATCTAAAGATTCAGACAACAACAAGGCTGTCTAGTCTGATATACCAGTGTTTTTTATTCTAAAAGTGTATAGTAAAATGTTTTCTAGAAATCTTTTTGGCTTCTCTTGAACTCAGTTGTTGTTTTTACAATTTGTATTATTAGAAACGGATATACTTACTTCATGTTTACAACTAGGATACTTACTACATTTTAGGTTTTTGATATGATTAATGTTACTCATAACTTTAGATATTATTTTTATTACAATTTTAATAAAAAAATAGAAAAGTACTTTCATTTATTTTTCATGCACTTGATACATTTAAGGTATATGTTATTAGGCATTCACAGAAAACCGGTGTTAATTAACTTTTTCGTCTCCTTACACCAAGTGAGGAGGTTATCGACAGGTCAATCCCCTTCTAATTGAAGAATAGCCCTCAACGAAACGGTTTTCCTTGAAGAAAAAGTTTAACTCTACTGTAAACCATAGATAGTGGTACTAGGCGTACAGTAGAACGCAGTAAAAAAATTTTGATAGGGTTGTAATTTAAACTTCCTAAGACTTTTTAAGCAATTAAAGTACAACACTGTTGCCATGGTTTAAGCTCTTTGTTTCTAACGGCTTAATTAAGAAAGTGTGACTGTAAATGTCAACTTAATAATTTATAAAATATTTTTTCCCCCCAAGATAAGTTTATTTGATGTTTTATAGATAACAAAAAAATAAATAAAGGATATAAACTAACGACATTCTTTAGGTAGGGAATATAAATTCTGTCTATAAGTAGTGGGAGGTATAATTTTTTTACTAGTGCAACGCAGTGCACAGCCTATCACACATATTTAGTCATAGTCATATTAAAGTACTTCAGTAATTAAAAAATGGTATGATCGTAAGTGAGAGCGATAGCTTTTAATGTTTGGCTTTGGCTCGAACAAATAATAATTCCATTCCGTAATCTTAATTGTAAGCGTCCGATGTCTGTATAGTTATAGCAGAGAATTAAAAAACTAAAAATGAGTTATCTTTATAAGAGCAAGAGCAGACAAAACAATTATTTTCTTAGAATATCCTTATCAAAAGACAACTCTCGCACGCGGATCATATCCTGTGTCGCGGGGTATTTATAAATATTTATGGAACGGACACAAAAAACAACCAGTGTTGTCCCATGTGGGGATCGAACCCACAACACTAACCGTAGTAGGATGCGGCGAGGTGACCGCTTAAACCACTACGCCATCCGTGCAGTCCATAGTTTGTTTGTTTACATCTAAGTATGTAAGTGCAACACACAATATTCTTTAAATACCTTTAAGATATAATATCAGTTTAATCGGTTTATTACTAGTAGCATTTGCTTGTAGTGTAACAGTTCAGATTTGATTATTACATCAGTGACAGAGAAAAACCAGTCAAAATAAAAAGTGTAACATGAAACGTAATAAAAATAAAAATGTACCTATAAATGGTAAGATTTTTTTATTTCAACAGTATAAAGTTTACATATTGTATACATTAGGTGTTCTTCACAAACTATTTCATCTGAAAAAGTTTTACCATTTCATTCCTTAAGGAAATCTCCCCAAGCTTGCTGATATTTTCCCTCGGAATCGTACATTGCTACCAATTGCTGCCAAATTTCTGGATGATTTTTCTTTATCTCTTTTGCTACTTGCTTACCAGTTTGCTTCTGTTTCTCTGTGCATTTTGCGCAGCGGGTAGCTAAAGCTTCTGGTAGTTTTTCTGAAACATTGTAAAATATTTATTAGCGGTTTAAATTTTCATATTTATAAATTCGCTTTTATGAATTGTGGCAAGACTTAAAGTTAACCTGAGTTTTATTAAACAATGAGACAGCTTTAAATAAATTTTCTAACACAAAAGAAATTACATATCGGACTAGTCAAACTCCTCAGCGAACTTAATATTAGTGTGGAAAAAAATATTTTAGAAAGATAAGCAGGTAGGTACAAAACCATGTAAGTGACTTCAGATTATAAGCTGTCGCATTCTGAAGAGTTTTCTATCCTATAGCTTAATTTGTTTCTTTTTCTCTGTTGTTTTCAACAAATGAAAATCCAGAGCGATACCATTTTTTAAGGGCTCCATTGGCGTAAAAGTTATTCTATCCCTTGGGAACAGTACGAGTACTTTTTATCATGACAAAGGATACTCTATGTTATTTGATATATTTATGACAACGAATACGTATCATTTCATGATAATAAACAGGAGCATAGAATATGGACAAACATTAATCTAGATTAAGCTTTGAGAAGTGTTTAATAAAGATTTTTTAAAGATTATATAAATATTGGTATATTATTTTTTCTGTCAACGACTGTTAGTGGAAACTAAGACTAAATATTATTTTAAAAAGGAAACTTATATCGTTACCTTTAAGATTTTTCACTTCAGGAATGCAAGGTCCTTTATTGAGAAGACATTTAGCATAAGAACTCAACAGGCGCTCATTGCCAAGTACTTCAGAAATATCAAAGTTGTCGTTGTCTGTTTCGTACGTTTCTTGTGCAAGCACACTAAGGGCTAGGCAAAGGGTGACAAATACAATCTTCATGTTTACTGGCCTCACAATTCTTTTAGATGAATCTATGTATTACACTGAGAGCTATGTGACGTTCTCGTTTATTTTATCTGATATTTATACCAACGAACTAGCTCTTCTAAGAATATAAACCACAGTATTGTAGCAATGTCACTGGAACTTATGCATGCATATGACAACAATTACCGGTTCACTGAAGATTGTTATGTCGCATGTATTTATCATTATAGTATAATATTATGCCTTATGAAGTTATGGCCGTGGTTGAAGTAGGTACCTGGCGGTTCTTAAGTGAAACTATGGTGAAAATATATTTGTTTTTTAATTACCTTACAGATAGTCTAAATATTAAAACTATTCTAAGGTTTTAACTAAATAAATAAAATCCATCTTTTAAATGTTGGCCTCAGATGATAAAGTTCAGGTATCATTTGAGACCAACGTATAACAGTTTTCATTTCAAAGTTCTCCTGGGTCACACTAATGATAATTCTTCAAAAGTCTAATGAGTGTAAGGATGCCTATTAAAATAATTTATCAGTCATATATTTTCATTCTAGCATTCTACATTCAATATAAGTGTGTGTAAGTACATTAAATATACCTAAATAAGACAAAATAATATGACTGAATCACAATACAATACAATTAAATATATAAAATCCCTTATGACTAAGCACCAGTGGCTAAAAAGGTATACAGAGCGTCTCTATTGGAACGGTCAGGGTTGTATTTATCCAGCAACTCGAGGAAGCGGGGTTCACTTTTGGATCTAATTCCAAGGAGTAGTTTCCGCACAATTGTCTTCTGGCTAGGATTGCAACGTCCACATGCTGTTGCCAAAGTTTCTGGAAGCACACCTGGAAAATATCAAGAAGATCTCTTATAATAATGACTAATGAGTGATCTAATGTAAAATGTATAAATAACTGTTTCAGTTCTCAATTAATTTCTGCCAGCATTATGAGTACTTCCTATGTCAGTAATATACTAAGTACGTACTATCAATAATGCAATGCAGGAAAGTAATTTTTCAATACTAATTCGCAAAGTGGGCAATTCCGTTCTCTTTGAATGTCTTATTTTATTTCATTCTCTTTCATTGATAGATTGATTTCTAAAATTTTATGTAGCTTATATAATTTTCACCTTTATTGCTCATATAGTTTGTAACTTTGTAATCCTCAGATAAAATTGTTATGAGATTTTTTTCATTTAGAATTGCATTTACCAAAATATTTAATCATCTTGATCATTCAGAAACTAAGCAACATTACATTTGTCATTGTAGGGTATTTGTAAGTAATTTATGTATTGTGTACCGCACATAATAAACCAGTTAGTTACCCGCCTCGGTGTTTGATATACGTTCCATTGGCGACGAGGAACATTTTTGTTTAAAAATATCGAATCGTAGTGTGCAAATCACTATTAAAATGCCTATCGGTAAACTAGAACCTTTCGATGTTAACTCAAAACAGTGGCCGGCATACATTAGGCGCGTTAAACAATATATTTTACTCAACGAAATAAAGGATGAATTACGTGTGCCGTTACTTATTACGGTGGTGGGGGAACATACTTATTCGTTAATGTGTGATTTATGTGCGCCTAAAAACCCGGAAGAAAAATCTTTTGATGAATTGATAAAGGCAGTATTGGAGCATCTTGAGCCACAAAGATCGGAGATCGCGGAACGCCACGTGTTTCGTTTACGTAGGCAGCGGGACGGTGAATCCATGACGGAATACCTCCAAGAACTTAAACATCTGGCGACTACTTGTAATTTTGGAACTACGCTGGAAGAAAACCTTCGAGATCAGTTTGTATCAGGTCTATCCAACAGCGCGATGAGATCTCGTATTTTTGCTGAGAAAAGCATTACATACAGGGAACTAGCTCTGGCGTTGGAGGCCGCGGAACGGCACGCGGAGGTGAGTGGGGCGACGGCCCCAGTCTCGGCTTCAGGGGCAAGCGTGGGTGAAGGCCTGCACAGCACCCGCGCGGGATCCGCGGGCACGAGCGGTGGGGGCGAGCGCCGGACGAGCCGATACCGCGGCGCAGGGGCAAAAGGGTCTAATTCTGCAGCTTCGTCGATATCCCTTCAATGCTGGCGGTGTGGTAAGGCACACCGGCCGGATAGGTGCCGTTACGTTAATTATAACTGTGATGAGTGCAACCAGCGAGGTCATTTGAAAGTGATGTGTCGTGAAGTGCAAGCTAATCGTTCGGATAGGCAAAATTATGTAAGTGGATATGCTGAGGACGAAGATCTGTTTAACATCGAACTGGCGTCTCAAGGTAACAAACCGTTCTTTATTAAAGTGAATATAGACGATTATATGATTGAGTGTGAAGTGGATACCGGTAGCCGCATCTCGGCGATAAGTGAAGTTTTTTATAAGAAAATGTTTTCACACAAAACTATTTATTTTGATAATTTATTGTTACGATGTTATTCGGGCACGCCGATAGAATCGTTAGGTTATATAATGGTTACTGTTAGTTTAGGTAACGTCGTTGCTAACGATTTAATACTTTACGTGATTAAGAATGGAGCACGCCCACTTATGGGCAGGGATTGGCTAAGGTCTCTCAATATCAAACAAATAAGTATTAATGACATTAGTACCGATCCATGTATAAATCGTTTAGCTAAAGAATTTCCGGAGGTGTTTACGGATAAGTTGGGTAAATGTATCAAATTGCTCCAATTGCAACTGACCGATAGTGAACCTGTTTATGTCCGGGCGCGCACCGTACCACTGGCGCTCCGCGCACGTGTCCAACGAGAGCTCGAGCGTCTAGAGGCCGAAGGCACTATTTACCGCGTCGAACACTCTGAATACGGAGCCCCGATCGTGCCGGTAATTAAGACAAACGGCGACATACGAATATGCGGCGATTACAAAGTGACTATCAACCGTAAATTAAAACGGGAATTTTACCCACTTCCCCGCATTGAGGAGTTATTTGCAACTTTGAGTGGGGGAAAGGAGTTTTCAAAAATTGATTTGACTCATGCTTATTTACAGACTGTTTTGGATGAGGATTCGCAAAAGTGTACCGCTATAACTACGCATATCGGAACATTTGTATATCGTCGTACGCCCTTTGGGTTGTCTTGCATTCCAGAAAAATTTCAAAAATTGATGGAGGAGACGTTGCGGGGAGTACCGGGTACGGTCGTATTCCTTGATGATATTTGTGTCACGGGACCTTCGAGATATGAACATTTAAATAATTTAAAGCAAGTTTTGATTAGATTAAAAGATATGGGATTAACAGTAAAACTAAATAAATGTCAATTTTTACAGACGAGTGTTAAATATCTGGGGTTTATCATTGACCAAAAGGGGTTACACCCTGATCCAAACAAGGTGAATGCCATTGTTGATGCACCAACCCCTGCGGACGTAACGCAGTTAAAAGGCTTTTTAGGTTTATTGAATTATTACGGCAAGTTCATTCCTCGATTGAGTACACTGTTACACCCGTTACACGAGCTTTTAAAAAAGGGAGTCAGTTGGAAATGGAGTAGTGAGTGTAATCAGGCTTTTGTAGAAGCAAAACGAGCATTGTCTAGTAAGAAAGTGCTCGCGCATTACGAGGAGGGGCGGCCCCTAGTGTTGTCGGTGGATAGCAGCGCGTATGGGCTCGGCGCAGTACTGGCGCATCGGTTCCCAGATGGCAGCGAGCGCCCCGTTAGCTGTGTGTCACGCACACTCAATCAGGCCGAGCGTAATTATAGTCAAATTGATAAGGAGGCTTTAGCAATATTTTACGGCGTCATTAGACATCACCAATACCTCTATGGTAGGACATTCGAACTAAGGACGGACCACAAACCATTAAGTTACATTTTTGGTCCTAAGATAGGCATACCACAAACAGCTGCTAGCCGCTTGCAGCGCTGGGCAGTGCGATTAGCCGCATATGACTTCACAATTAAATTTGTTACATCAAAACAAAACGGCCCGGCAGACGCGCTGTCTCGTTTACCGTTATCGCAGGTGCCGCGCCGTCCTAGTGATGCAGTCAGTTATATTAATTTAGTTCAGGAATGCTTACCTGTTGATTTTATGGAAGTAGGTAAAGAAACCAATAAAAATGTATTATTGTCTCGAATAGTGGGATATGTAAAATTTGGATGGCCATCGGTACCCAGCTGTGAAGCCGAAAAACCGTATTTTGTGCGTAAAAATGATTTGACAGTTGATTTTAGTTGCTTAATTTATAAATATCGTATCGTTATACCTGCAAGCCTGCAAGGTAAAGTGTTACATGAACTTCATCAAGGTCACTTGGGAGTAAATAAAATGAAAACATTAGCACGCAATTATGTTTACTGGCCCAACTTAGACATGGATTTAGAAAATGTGTGTCGTTCATGCGAGCCGTGTCGCACGGTGCGTGATGCACCCCCGCGCGACACGCTACATCCGTGGGAATTTCCATTGTTTCCTTGGCAACGTTTACACGCAGATTTTGCTGAACATTTAGGTAAACGATATTTAATTGTAGTGGATGCGCATTCAAAGTGGATCGAAGTGCTACCCATGGCTCGCACGGACGCACAGTCGACGATCACGGCCTTGATGTCGGTATTTGGTAGGTTCGGCTTGCCTTCACAGCTGGTTACGGATAACGGACCCCCATTCCTTTCGATGGAATTTAAAAAGTATTGTATGAATAACTGTATTAGACATGTCACGTCTGCCCCTTATAGACCGCAGGCTAATGGTGCGGCCGAAAATGCTGTAAAAACTGTAAAGAAGGCAATCAAAAGGGCAGTACATACAGGTGAAAACGTTTTGCAAGCCATACATAAATTTTTATTTTACTATCGTAACTGTGAACATGCTTCAACGGGTGTGTCCCCGGCAGTGCTGCTGACTGGACGTCGTATGCGAATGCGATTAGATGCGTTACGACCGGACGTCGCGCAGGTGGCGCGAAAAGCGCAGCAGCGCCAGATAGCGAATGCAGGGGGCACGCCCCAACCCTCGATTCTTTTAGGAGAACCGGTACTCGCTCGGGATTTTTCCGTGGGTAAAAATAAGTGGTCCACCGGTACAGTAACTGAGCAAACTGGCCCAGTATCCTATCGAGTTAACATGGGTAATGGTGTCGAGTGGCGCAGACATCGAGACCAAGTTTTACCAATTGAGAATAAATCACGCCTTTCTTTATCGCGAGCAAGTGTCGGTGAGAAGAGGGGGCAGGGGACTAGCGATGTAGAGGAGCATGTTGAAGATGCGTTTGACGCATCTGAAGAGGGGACGGTGGGGACCGGGAGTGTGGAGTCACCAAGAGCGCCGGACTGCTCCCCGACTCAGCCGCTTCCGGGAGCCACGGCCCGTACCTTACGCGCATATGCACGCGCTCAGAATAAGGCTCGTAATTAACAACTTATTATCTCATATGTATTGTGGCCTACCAGATGTTCTAGTACAGTTAGATAGTGTGATTGATTTGTTTAACTTTACTTAATAGATTATTATTCTTAGGGGAGAAATGTGTAGGGTATTTGTAAGTAATTTATGTATTGTGTACCGCACATAATAAACCAGTTAGTTACCCGCCTCGGTGTTTGATATACGTTCCAGTCATGAAAATAAGTAAGTAGGTACCTAACAAAGTTTAAGCTTTTACAGTTACTATTTTTACTAAATCTTTGGTTTTGTATTAAGTTTATGTAATTCAATGTATTACTGCGGTGGGGTATTATATATATATTTTAGTTATATTTAGTACCAATTAGCAAAAGTATTTTTTTTTATTTGTAACACATAATTTCTAGCTTGATGGAGGAATTGACGCCACTCCTCAAAAATTATACTCAACTTTTGTTTTTGCTGTCAAAAAGCACTATTAGGTGGTATAAAGTACAAAAGAAATCTTTAACTATTAACGTCTCTGCATCGGACAAAGCAATATTTAGTAGGGTAGCAAGGATGATGAGCAGTTAACATTAGACTATTCTAATTATTATTATTTTTGGTTTAAAGTAGGTATTTTAAACTCTGTGAGTTAAGGAAAATAGAAAGTCATTATTATTATTTTAATTTAGATAAATTTATATTTAATCTTGATGAAATCTTAGGAAATGAACATTGTAGGTTATATATTAAGTTTCACCGTAGGAGAGTCATGCTTCGACACGGCCTGACATAAAACTGGTGTTAGGAAATTCTTTCGTTGGTGAAAACCAACGCAAGAATTTCCTAACACCGGTTTATTATTGAAAAACCAGTAAGTGAGGTAACCGGAGTCACAAATCCCCTCTCCTCCTATGTAAGGGAGGAGGGACTCAAACGGCGGCACTTGAGACCCTTGGTAACACTCGGGGGTAGTCACTTCCCATCAGGGGATTCGTCGTTCGTTTTCAATAATAACTACCAAACATCAAGTGAATGAGTCGAACAATAATTGAGAGGTTTGAATGCTTGGACTCTTCAGCCACAGGCAATTTGAGTTACATGTATGCGACCGTGACTCCCCGAGCTATTACTAACACTCACCTATCCATCTGTATAAGCTATATCAATTTATACCTTAAAATTATTCGTTTATAGTCTCAATTCCATTCTCCCATGATACTATTAAAGTGCTCGGATTATGGCAATGGGTCTGTTCCCTAGTCTAACCCGACAGAAAACTATACACATGAGAGTATGTATGTATGTAATGTTTGATCAACGTAATAAAACTATTACAACCAAGGTCAAAGTCACAGACTTGACAAAATACTGAGAATAAATGAATATTTTCTTCACTAGAGCAATATCAATCTCAAAGCTACGTAAGATGTAAGTACCTACATAAGATGTTTCATAAATTATAATAATAGAAAATACTACCGATGTTTGGTACTCTTGTAAACCCAGAATATTTTTTTTTTAATATTTTTAAAAATGTATTGTATAAATAGAACGGACTTACGTTTAAAATTCTTTCCATCTCGTGTACAGGGTCCTTTATCCATGACGCATTTGTAATAAGCAAGTAGGATCCTGTCGTTTTGTATGATCGCATCAGCATTGAAGTTCTCATAACGATTTGGGTGCTGTGAGTAGCATGACACCACCACCGTTAGCACACATACTAAAAGCAGCCAACTCCTCATTGTGTGTTTTCTGTTGAAATGAAATAATTAACCTTTTAAATGTGCCTACTTTATGAGGAATTATTATTAAACTGTATTCTTCATTACTTCATTTTTCACCATTAAGGTTTTAATTTAAAAAGGACTGAACAGGAAGAATTTTTAAATTGGCTCACAAATGATGCAGTTCTGAGGTAACGAAAGAAACTGAATTGAGAACCGCCTACTTTTTCTAAAGTTAGTTAAAAACATACTTCTTTTGTATAATCATAAAGACCACAAGAAAATTCCATGACGGTTAATCAATATATCGATCAATATGTCGATATATAAAAATTAGCATTCATTTATGGATCTCTCATTAAAATACACTTGTTTAAATCTAAGATTATATATGTATGCTTTATGTCATATATGCTTACGCAACATAATTTGTTTCTATTAGAAACTACATTGTTTTATCTCTTTGTATGCTACAGATGATGATAATTATTATAATAAATACATAGTATAGGAAAGTCGCTTAACGTGTCTTTCTGTATATCTGCTTACTCCTAAACTATGTAACACATTTTGATGCAGTACATAGATAACTTTTTAAAGAAGGTTTATGTTTCTCGTAAAATCTTATTAAATTTTTAATACAATACCAAAAAAGAAATATTATTATGTGACTAAGACGAGTGTTTTTAACGTGGTTAATTTTAGATTCCTAAAAATGATGTAGGTCATTACATCTGTACTTAGTCAATGCGGGTCGCTACTAAATAACAACAAAAATAGTTGAATATCAGATAAGGACCACCCACTGATTTTTAACTTCAGTTATTTATCAACAAACAACATAAACCTATAGAAAAGCGAGACAAAATCTTTAGACAACTTAGACTTTTCATTGAAATTATATCATTTAAAAAGAAAATATTACCCTATGTAATGATTTTGCAGTAGTATTAGAATAGTAGATAAACTGATCAATGAACATTAAAGACTTCTAATGTGAACAGTAGGTTAGAAGGAGCACAAAGAAAGTAGGTACACAACAAAGAAATTGCAGACAATGTCAAGGAAAAAAAATACTTTCTAAGAGAAAGCCTCGGCACACACAAGTGATAAAACGATGTATTAGAACAAGGAAAAATAACATAAATACTAATCAAAAGTAAGTGGTAGTAGATAACCACTATTTATTACATTTGAATGTCATAAACACACTGATCTTCTGATATTTGATCTTATGACCTTAGTAATACACCTGTATATTGTATTTAATTTAAAGCATGACGACAGGGTTCTAATGAAACAGTTAAAATAAACATACCTAACAAATCCTCTCAAGTAACAATCAGCGGATCAACAAACAAATTTTAACTAGCGTTTAAAATACCGCTTACTTTCACAGAGCACTTTCTAAGAAATTTTTAATAGAAAAATACTCACGGTCGAAGAAAGTTGTGCAAGTGTTCCTAGTTTGGCGTCCAACGCAGGTATGGCGTTTGTGGGCTCCACAGCGGGGTGTTTCTGAAACCTGTCGGAGGAAGAGGTCGACGTAACGGGCCGCATACAAATACGTCGAAGAAAGCAGTGCGCTTACGCCTGCGGCTCTACTGATCTTATTGATTACTTGCGCGTGATCTTAATGATATGTATTTAAATGAATACGTACACCTGTTAAGATAACGTTAGCCGAAAGTAAATTAAGTGTGCTTTTTAACCGAGGAGGTTCTCAATTGTATTTCGTTGGTGTTTATTATCTTAGAACTCAGTAGTTTATAAACCAATTAGAAAATCTGTTTGTTAATTTGGGAGGGTACCTATGCTTGCCGTTCAGTATCATTCAAATTTGAAGAAAAAATGCTAGCCCTAGGGGTGAAAGAAGTAATAAATAATTCATTTCATTTAATTCATAATAGGCACATATGAATCTTTTCTAGTTTATTATTGTTTCGTTTATTTATCACGTAACGCAGCTAGACAAAAGAACAATCGTATATGTTTCTTAGTAACAATAATGTTAATTACTATGCGGTACCTACATGAATTTCATTAGCGGTGAATATTGTTGGTAATAAAATATTTATTGTAAGTAGTCTACAGACGTAGGCAGGAAAAATCCTCGGAAGTAATAACACTGAATACGTTGATCTCACTTGTCGGTATCATGCTATTGCCTACAGATTTTTTTCCTTGGAAGTAACCTTGTAACAAATATACTTACCAGACGTTTTAATAACTTATTTTGCTAAATTGCTTACAGCTAACCGAGCCCAGCCTTTATAGATCCTAGGATCATAAAGCAACTATCAGAAGAAGACAGTAAGAGTTTTATTCTTGACTGGCCCGTTCAGGATAAATAATTGTTTGTGTGATGAGCATGATCCTTTGTTTCAGTGTCTCGATGTTTATCAGGAGTCTAGACACTACACACACACATAGCCTAGGCACTATCTAATTTGGAAACAGACGGTCGTGTAAAACGCATCAACTGAATCTCGTACACATTACACAGATGATCCGTGTATTGCTGGGGTAGTCAAAGGCGAATATTAATGATAATAGAGATACAGAATCATTCGATTTAACCTTTTAATAATAATACTATCCTAGACCATATAACACATGAGAACTAAGAGTTTAAGAATACAGTTGTAATTCAAGAGTACCCTGTTTGTTATTTTCTAGTGTTAAAGACGTAATGTGACCAAAAATAGTTCTATTTATTTTTAAATGGATTCGAATCCAAACAGTAAATCCTTGTAAAATCCTAACGGTGATATCAACTGTAAAACGCCATAAAACGCATACTCAATACAAAATAAAAACCTCGGCTCAGTATCTGAACAGGTTTGGGGTGAGGTGTCAATGTTACGTTAACCCCAGTTCAATGATATAACATGAAGTATCGGCACACATTTTTGAGTAGGAATGTTTGGTTCACATTTTTCAACAGTAATTAAAATGTTCGCAGCTTGCGAATGATTCTAAAAATAGTCTGTCTCATTTCACTGTATTTTATTAAATTTAATTTTAAGTTTTAATGTTCTTAGTAACATATGATAGATTTTTGTATTAAATCAAACATTTTATAGAATATTTTCTTGTTAACAATATATTTACTTTAAATATTTTATAAGTAACAATATGATAAATTTATATACATTATTTTTTGTAAATTTAATTTCTAAGTATGTAATGTATTACATACTTAGAAATGAAATTTACAAAAAAAATGATATTACAAACACAGGCATGAGAGCGAGTAAATTTACATAAACAAAGTTTTTATTAAATTAACCCGTCCTTGATTTCGGTAGATAGGTGCCCATCACACTTGCTGCACGCAGGCTGCTGCAACCAGGAACAAACTGGAGCGGGAGTCACTATTGACTTCTGTGAGTTTTCGACATAGTTCCTTTATAAATTTCCTAGTGTCAACATCCCAGCTGCCCATGGTATCCACATGCCCATATCCACAGGAACAAAATGGTAAACTGTTCCAAAGCTGTATACTTTTGCCTTTTTTTAAAACAGGCGTTTCATGTCGGCCGATGAGAAGTGGACGGTGCGACTCAGATGGCTAACGGCACCAGTGCGACACAGGTAGCGTACTAGATGAGGCACTTGCCCTACTGCCGTGGCACCAGAGCCAACCCGTCCAGCCTCTTACCGTCTGATCTGTTCAAATCATAGGGCTCAAGCACACATGATGTTGGCTGACATGAGGACTCTGCGGACTACGTCGTTGAGGTCATGGTGTCGCGGAGACCTTCCGAGGATCGGGATCATCTCAAAGCATGGGTGCAGTCAGCCTCCACCATTGATCCGTAAATCCGCTTCACCCCCACATCATCCCAAACCCGCTGACCAAGCGCTGCTTCGGGAAACGTCGCACTCGGGTTTAGGGCCAACCAGGTGATGTAGTCCCCGCCCAAAACGGAACTGGCCACAGTGGGATTGCAATAAAACAGTGACAAAGTTTGCAACACCGTGCGCAGACGCCAGAAAAGCCAGAAAAGCCGAAAACAACGCACTCCCAGACCCACACACCGGATCCGGAGACCCGCCTGATTGGGAGCGATGGCTTAAGTAAATGATGTAAAAAAAAATTATTAACAAAACTTTTGTGTTTTTAAAGATAAACTCAAAAAGTAGAAGTAAAATCCTATATGAAGGGATTTGCATTTTAGAACTGTCTGTGATTATTTTAAATAGTTTCAACATTTGTGGTGTAAAGTAGTACCTAACGCCGCACATAACATTTGCTGTTATTTTTATGACATCATTTGCGATTTGAATGTTTCTTTTAGTAGGTCTATGCTGAGCAACTTTGTTTGCCGGCCAGAAACGGTAAATTTGTAACTAAGATAGGTAGAGGTTTGTATTGGTGCTTTAGAATGAAATGTAATACAAGTGTATCTATGTATGTATATCCTTATTCCTAATATCTATGCCGCAGAAAACCTGTATTATACGTACAAAAAATACAAAAAAGCCTAGTTAGAGCCGTAGCCTTAATCAATAACGTTCCATTATTTACCGCTGTACAAATGAAGAAGGTTTAGAAAAACTTGGGGTAACTTATAATGAAACGACTGTTTCAATCGGCTTGTTAGAATAATACCTTAAAATCTGATAATTTCTTCACTTGTAGGGTATTGTTTTAAATAAATTCTTAGACAAATAATATAGAACATGATATATTTAACTATATCTAATGCAACTACAGGTAAATTAGCTTGGAGAAATTTTTGCGTTTGTAGTAGTGTATGGTACGGACAGCGTAAACTGGTTTATTCTGGTTTTGTGCGTGTTTCCACTTTCCACTATCAAGTGACGATTTTTTGCTTTAGATTGAAATATCTCGGAAACGGTGCGTCCTAGGCCAAAAATAACAAAAATTTTGACCCCCCCCCGTAAACCCGTATAGGAAAAAACAAAAAAAAAAAAATATCGGTCTCTCCTCTTTGAAGTTTCACTTCTATCGTGTGTGAATCGCACACACACCTTTTTTTTTATAAAGTCAAAACCTTTTTCTTTAAAATAAAAACTTGTTATTATTGAAAACAAAAATCAGAGTGTTGCTAGGGATAAGTATAAAATTAAATAGTAATGTTAGGATATCGAAACATTTTTGTATAGGCCAGAACGATATAGTGGAAACGCGCTCTAAGATCTGAGTAATATACACACCACTACATATGCAAAAATTTCTCGAGACTAATTTCACTGTACAGCTTTTGCGGATAATGCACGCAATTCAATTCAAAACGGCGATCCAATTTTTCGCCAACTGCGTTGAAGCTCATAAAGTTATCAGTAAATTCGTCCGTATGTTCTCTTCTAAGCCGGTGAACCAAATTAGCGCCAAAATTTATGTTTTTAATTTCTCGCAAATATGGGTTCGCAATTAGCAGTGTGGTTTTAAAGTTAAGGATTTCAGAAATTGATAACGAAAATAATTTCAATCAATTATATTCTTATCAATAAACATTAAGACTTCAATCGAGGTTTTAAACGTTTTATTTAAAATCTCTGAAATTTTTAGTTCTCACATAGTCATGTGCCGCTCTGTGTCAACTTTTAATTATTTTTAGTTCACAGTAATTAACAACGAAGGCGAATCAATCTTAGTCTCTTAGAATTTAGGTGTATAAAATCAATAAAATTAAATTAAAATCATGCGTAGCGCTGGGAATGTGTATGTGTGTGTATTTTTCTTCATAAATATGACACGTTATCATGATCCTTTTGAAAAACTACAAACTATTTTATGGGTTACAATCATTTGCAACATTACTTTTGCAAGGCGCTTTTTGTTAATTTTTACCATGATGTTGCCATTGCTCCATGTGCTGCACAGATACTTGAAATGTCATTACAAATAAATCTCCCTAGCATCACTGTTAGGTCACCATATTCTGAACCAATTCAGCTAGTTGTTGGTGTTTTTGCATTCTTTTCAATTTTAAATGCAATTATCAGGGGTACAAAGAATAAATATACATAGGGTACAAATAATTTTATTCACGTATTAATATTTAAATGAATTTAAATGTACAATTTGCAGAGAAACGCCTACTGGAAATGAAATTGCAAATAAATTTGATTTCTCGAATTTCGGTTTTATTAAAGTTTGTGGACTATGAGTGAGTTATAATTAGTCCTGATAATGATGATAGTTTAAGTAACTTTATCTATAAATAGCTCAAATAAAGCTAACGCTGATGTTACTTACGCTGGTTACTCGTAAATTGAAAGTTTTGTTCGAGGGATGGCTTAAATATGTTCGAGTTGGTTAGACTAATAAACCAAGGAGGTAAATATGCCTACAAGTATTCGTATTACTAGCTTTGGAGACCTGAGACTTAATAGGTACTAGGTTGGTACATCAGACTCGGTTTTATTATTATAATTAATTAATTGTAATTTGGAGGCTTCAACACCTTAGAACGCTAATAGAGCAACTGGCTGTGGGTCTGCAAAAAAATTATGTTGCTAGTTTTAAGTGAAAATTTCGTTGATAGTACTTGTTCTGTATTATAAAGTCAACGAGCAGAGCATTGCACTGGATTTCTTTAAACAAATTATGATTTTTACGTGTACTAATTTTTGTCAAAGAATTAGAACCTTGAATTTCCAGAGCGAGAGAGGGGTTTAACATACAATAAAAAACGTAAAAGTAATTAACTGACATGATATTCACTGATGAGGCTTTATTAAGAGTCTTTTGTAGTATGTCTTTGTACATTTATCAATTAATCATTATAATTTTTATTGAACTGTCATTTGAAATTTGAAGAACTTTATCTACTTAAATATATATTTTAATACTTGTACTATAAATTTGCTCATTTAAAATCATTCACTATTAATAAATATTACATTACATATGTATAAGGAAGGAGAGGCCTATGTCCTGAGTCAACTATTAAAGACTGTTGGCTTATGTGGTACCTATGTGATGTGTGTGTATAAGTATTATAAAACTATTTCCACATAGTGTTCTTTTTTTCATTTAGATTTTCTTCATCAATTCATTGTACACGGCCCCGTACTTGTCGTGGAATGTCTTCATCAGACGTTCATACTTTTGTTTTTCTTCTGGATTGCACTCGCCACATTTATTTTTGATAATTGTTATCACACTATCTGAAAATAATTATTGTTATGTTTACAAAATCCAACTCAACGGAGCGCTAACATGTGAGCTCTATTACGATCTTAAAAATGAGTATATACATAAAATATTATGTGATAGCTTCTCAGATTTTCATTAGATTAGAAGAATAAAAGTAATTAGAGATTAGAAGTAAGCTGTGTGTTAGTAATTTCATTTTATTTTTCTATGTTATAATTTTTATCTGTGTTTTCACTCTTTTAGAAATTTGTAAATGGTCTCAGATACATGAATAAAAAGATTATTATTATTAAACGATCCAGTGGCTAACATGATTTATTTATTTATATAAATCATATAATATATATTATGTAATAATAAATGAGATTATATAAATAGGAGAGTAATGGTTGTGGGTTTGCCGAAGCAGGCACAAATTGATTGCCGTGAGCGATAAGATCGCCTATTTTTATATAATATCTGTACAAATAATACTGCTGTGGAGTACAAAAACGAGACAAATAAATGGATTGAGCCGGTTCATCCGGAGTGATACCACACACTCACAGAAAACCGGTGTCAAGCAAATCTTTAAATTCCTTTTCACCCTGAGCAGATGAGGCACCTGATAGTCACTAACTACGGTCACCCATGGACCCCTGCAAATCAAGACTCATTATTGCATTGCTATAAAAATTATACCCTCATAGCCTTAGAGTCCTCTTCCAGAATAAAGGGGAGGAAAGGTTTTTGCTTCAGTAACCTTACTCACTCCGTAAAAATAACGAAATAATTGTTTAACATCGGTTACCTGTGAGGCCGTTGTATCACTCTGGTCGAGCCGGTCCGTTTCTGCCGAAGCATGGCTATCCGTGAAGTGACGGATTAAGAGTACGAAGTGTCACCATCCCTATTTAACCTATGGTTGTCGTAAGCGCCGACTCGGGGAGCGACAGCACTGCGAAGAGAAGGAAAACTTGAAACAAACCCTATGGCCAGCCAAAACCTCCTTTCTAAGTAGAGGCCTTTGTTCAGCAGTGGACAATTAAAGGCTGTTGATGTTGATGTTTGTCAGGTTAGCTTTTTTAGGTTATATTATTATTTTCGTTACCTTTTATCCTCTGTGTATCACCACATGGTGATTTGTCCAGTAAACAATCGAAGATTGCTTGCCTCTGCTCATCATTAGAGAATAAAGCATCTATGTCAAAGTCTCTCAGAATTTCAGTCTCTTTTGATGGAGCAGTTACTGCAAGGGTTACCAGAGTCGACAATAATAACAGCAGCTTCATTGTAGACTTCTGTGCGAAAAAAATAAATTAAACAGAAATACACCAGCACTACCTATTCCTGCACATCACACCAGTACACCATTCCTGAAGAAAAAAAATCATGAATATTTTAAGTAATTGGAATAAACAGTTATGAAGAATTTTTGTTGGTTTTCTTATAACCTTTGCATTTATTTACATAATATAGGTATAAAAACGAAGCAAAAGGGAGGCAAATAATGAAAAGGCTTTTATGTAGTCTTTCAAATACTAAGTAGCTTTTTAGTTTGTATTTCTTTCGAAATCTGAACTAAAAACTAATAGTAATAAGTAATACAAAATTCATTTGAAAAAATCTTTCATATTTCGTATGAAAGTAATAAATAAACTGCAATGTATAAAAATTCACATTAATTTGTATTATTATGAATACATAAGATTTTATTATGTTTTGTCTTACAAATTTACTTTAAAATGAGTTAGCAAGCAAAACTATTTTCCTTTACTTTCAATTTAAAAGCAAAGACGTAGAAATTAATTCTATAAACCAACTTAGTTAAAACAAAATTAAATATTCAAATATTTTACTTTTCTACTCCAGTAACCTTAAGAAAATACTTTAGTTTATGAATGAATTCACTGTAGGATAATAAAATGCTTCTTACCTTTAAGGACAATTGCGAATATAGATGAAAATAATGCATACAATGTATCCTCGATCGAATTTACCACTTATATAGGCGAGCGTGTGATTAAGTTATGAATAATGTTATCCACATAAGAATAGGACAATTAAATGATGTTTTTAATGGATATTAGCAATTATAACGCAGCATTTAAAAGGGTTCAATTATGATATTACAGACAAACCTAGTGGTAAATCGAACGATGTTTCGTCTAGAGCCAATTCAAAGTGCAAAATCAGGCCCTCTGCATTATAAAATACAATGTCAATAGAACTTTTATCAAAATATAGAATTTGAGTCAACTTCAAGTAATTTTGAAAAATAAATTCTATTTTTTTTATCCCTCTATTTTTTTCAAGTTATAGAAAATTTTTTGCTACTTTTTAGTTCAGCTGGTCAACAAAGCGTGTTTCTTTTAGGATATAAAATCCTTAATCCTGAAGATCCTGATCTAGATAATCAGACAAACTTATTAAATTATTGTATCGTCAGCGTCGCTTGAGAAGTGTCTGAAGTTTGAATTCCATTTGAAGTTTTGAAGATGATGAAAATCAAGTTCAAAGGTTCTGTTACATACAAGTCAAGCTAATAAAAGCGCGTTAAAAATAAAATCTTATAAACTTTATAAAATGTTATTGACCTAAACAGTATTTTTACCTAAGTGATTGACAATTGTCACTACTCTTCAAAAAAACAGTTTTGGTTGTGTACAATGTAGCATACATCCCATTTATTGGTAGTTTTCTAATAACTCGGTTACAATACTTCCATAGTTTTCTCATTTCCTATTTCCCAAAAATTGCGTTGCTACGTTTTTGAACGTTTTTCAAGCTTTTAATTCGATGGTACTGAGTTTTTTTTCGAAATCGATGTCTTTCATAAGTTTTCGTATTTGGAGGCCCACGAAAATGCCTTCTTTTAATTTGGCATCACTTATAAATGCCGACCTGAAACGTGATGTATGAAACGTAATAAATGACTACACATATTTAATTTCCTATGTACCCTCAAAAACAAAAGAATAAAATACTGCATTGTATATAACTTGACCATAAACAGTGTATTTTTGTTTTTATTTAAACGTTAACGTGATGGCGATTTTTGAAATTATATTAGTAATCAGTAATGCCTAAGTAATGAAAAAGTATATGCGGTTACTCTGTTGCGAAATTTTGTAAACTAGTGTTATTATTTCACTTTTTTTTTTAAATCAACATCTTCATAACATCAACAGCCTTTAATAGTCCACTGCTGGACACAGGCCTTTCCTTAGAAAGGAGGTTTTTTAATAATATTAAGGTTTATTTCAATACCACAAATAAGTTACAAAAAATCTTGAAAAGGTTTAAATGTAAGAACATAAAAATGTTTAAATAGTTGCGTTTGAAGTCTAAATATTTGTGGGAGTCAGGAGCCCAAACTAGGATACCCTGTGTTATGGACTCCTGGCTCGCCCCTCTCAGATTAGAAAATTATTTTACAGCGTTCACAGTGGGATAATAAATTAATATAAAGATAATACAAACTTAAAAAAATATCTTACGGTAACAAAAAACAAATTCTTAATATGTCTGCGTGTGAGATTTATTTATACCTTTATTAATTCATTCTTTTATTTAAAAACCTGAGTTTGAAGGAAAAAGTATTCAGAGTCGCGTAATCAATCTAGAATATTTGACAGTGCCCCGTATACATCATTTTCTAAATATAGATCCATACGGGATATATATATAAGGAATCTGTAGATAGAAACAGTGTGTGACTTTTATAGTAGTAAGTAGTACATTATCAGTACTAAATTATCGCAAAAGGGTATCTAAACTATAAATGTACCATTATTATTGTAATAATTTATATCTTGTAAAGCGGTAGAAAATCTACACTGTGCATCTCCTACTGACTTCATGGTTATCTAACTAGACATGTAACGGTAAAACCGTCATTTTTTAAATTAAAGAACACCAGCGATCCGCCCCGGCTTCACACAGGGGCAATGTAGATACTACTAATATGGTGTCACTGTGGAGTAATTAATTATTACTCCATACTGACACCGTATTAGTAGTATCTACATTGCACCCGTGCTGTTATTATGATAGGAGTATACTTCAGGACATTTTTAAATGCAATATTTACAGGCCAACTCCGATCCTGCCGGCCGTTGTATCTCAAGCTGGTTGGTAATCCTGATTAAACCAGAGGTCGTGGATTCGATTCCCGCCCAGGCTAAATATTGTGTGAAATGTTTCGTAGTAATTGTAGTAACAGTATTAAACATCCAACGTTGACTATAACGTGATTATATCGTATTGTAACCGTGAGTTTAATCGGTATTCTGCAAGTCTTAGTAATACTAAATTAGTAGTAGAAAGTAGTATACTTTACTACTAAACCTTTTATGACATTTGAGAGATCTAGAGTAGATCGGAACTGCATTTTGAACGAATTTTTATTACGAGAATTGACTGTTTGGTAACATCGTACTGAAGCTATTGAAGATTTCTGCTATTGAATTATGTATTGTATATATATAATATAATGCAACACAGTATAATTTAATTTTACTACTAAGATTACCATTCAGAAAAGACAGGATAAAGCGTTTGACATTTAATAGTCATCGGCTTTAGGTATAATTTTCTACAGTATTTATCCTCAATCCAACAGATATTGTTATATTTCAATTAAATGCAAATAAGGCTTATCAAGTTCATCTTGATTGTATTCACAAATATAGATGTTAAAATAAATGTATAGCAATACATTTTTTATGTACAATGTTGTACCTAATACTGTCATCGAAGGCCAGTTAAAATGTAATATCACATAATTTTATCTCTATAATCACGTTTGTTGTAATGACTTCTCATTTTAAATTTTTAAATTATAATAATTAGGGATATCCGTATCTCTATGGTATATAACATAGGTACAGATCCTCTTGTCACCGAGTTACTTGCGTACTTCCATAGGAAATTGGTAAGTTTGTTAAAGCTAAACCTTATTCACACAGTAAATATTTTCACGACCTTTTTTTACAAGTTAAAATTTGGGTTGTGATTCTTATGTTTTGCTTTTGATTGGATGATAGTTTGAAGCTTTGTTTAGTTTTTTAGAGTTTAAAAATAGACAGTCATATCTAAGAGTATATACCTAATATATACTATACCTAATATCTAAGAGTTGAAATAGTCTATTAGTTATATTCAAGTATCCTGGGGTCAGTTGTTTTAACTATAAAACACACTTTCAACCTTCAGATTTTACCTACTTTTAAGTTCTTGTAGATCTTTAGTGCAGATCTTCTTTAAAAAAAATTTTCATTTTTTTTTTAATTTCTATTATTTCTATTTTTTCTGACATAACTTTATTTTATATACATTTAAGTTACAATTATTATTATTTTTTATTCAAGTCATTTCCAAATTGAAATTATTTTCAGAATTTGGAATTATTTTCAGAAATTACTGAGATGATCGCCCTATTTGTAGCTGTTTTTGCCTTTGTGACACCCTTCACACTGGGGTATGATGAGATTTATGATAAGTTGGACGTGGACAAGATTCTTGCTGACGATGCCTTGTTTACAAGTTACATCAATTGTTTGTTAGATAAGGGTGAATGTAGTGTTGAACACTCGGCTGATTTTCGAAGTAAGTTATAACAGTGTTTTTAATATTTTATTAAAAGTTTTGAACAATGATATTCTATTTAAATAATTTAGTACTTTTAAAGTGAACTTTATCCCGTATTTTCGAGTGTTTTTTTTAAAATGGAAAACGAGCAAATAACCACCGCCGCCCATGAACGCATGCAACTTTGGAGTCCGCTCTATCCAATTTTTTTTTGCGACTGAGTTTAAAAATCTTATTTAGTAATAATAATACAAGTACCAGCGGAAATGTAGAGAGGCTAAGTGGCTCGTGGCTAAGTGGCTACCGAATAGGTTAACACATTGCAAAGTTAAGTAATCCCAGGTAGGTCAGTCTATGGATGTGACCATTCTTCACACTTTGAGACCCCTGCGTGCCTCGGAGAGCACGTTAAGCCATCGGTCCCGGGTGCCATACGAACATTTGTGGCAATCGTTACGGGTATTTGGAGCCGTAAACAGTCCGACAACAGTCATTCTACAGAACTTCGAAATCGCCTAGTATAGTAGTAGTAGTAGTATAGTTGTGAAGGTCCGATGGCAGCCGCTCTGCGTAAAAATCGAAGATCAGCCGTATCGTAGGAGACTTAAAGCCGACCTCAACCTCAAATTTGGAAAAAGGCTCTGACTGGCTGTATGCGTCATGCATGCGTTCACAATGCAAAAGTACATGTAGTAATTTATTTTAAATTTAAAGCTAATGTTTATAGTACCTTATTAATAAATGACTTAGCTTTGTGTTTACTCGTTAGTCTTTGAAACTGAAACAAAGGTTGTAGTTATTATCACTGACGACATAATCGTAAGATAATAGGCAATCTAAACAATTAACTAGAGACTGAGTTCTATATTATGAGAAGTTTAAAGGCAGTCATGTATTTCAAAACCTTATATTTTCATACTTACATAAATCAGCATTAAGTCCGCCTCTATACACATCGTGCATAAATTTCACAGAACTGATTCCTGAGGTGATAGCGACTGCATGTGCCAAATGCACAGACATCCAGAAGACGAACGTACGGAAAACAGTTAAGGCACTAACTGAGAAAAGACCGACCGAATTCGACCAATTCCGTGCTAAGTTCGACCCTAAGAGTGAATACGAGAAGGCATTCACCGCTTTCGTCATGGCATCTGACTAAGTACTATGTTGTCATATACTAGATAGAACATGAATTTGTGCAGCGACCGCCAGTATTAATCTCTAATGGATTTGATCACAATTATGTGGAGCATTACAAATAACTAATATAATAAAGGCATATTGCATTCCATAAAAATTGTGTACAATTACTTAAATGATGTAATTTTAACTTATTTTGAATGAAATTTCGAAATTCAGAAACTTCATATTTCGTGGCAAGAGAGACATGTTTTATAAACAGTGTTAAGCAATTCATACCACTCCTCCATAATTCTGGAGGGATCATGTAAACGTGTGTTTCTTGAGGTAACTGTGTCACTTAATATCTGACACAAGAGCCGACTAAGGGTACAAACTACGCAGGACCACAGCACTACAAAGTGGTATAGTAGGCCAAAACCTCCTTTTTAAGGAGAAGCCTATGTGCAGTTTGACGGCACGGATGGCGTAGGGGTTTAAGCGGTCGGTGTAATCTCACTACTACGCTGAGTATTGTTGGTCCGATCCCCACATGGGACGACACTTTATGTGATCCAAGAATTGTTGTTCTGAGCCTGGGTATTCTTTGTGTTCGTTTCATGTATGTTTGTAAAGTCCCCCGCGACACAGGATATATTCCTAATCCGCGGCAGTTGTCTTTAAAAAAAAGAAAAGAAAGAAAGTGGACTATCAAAGGCTCTTGATGATGAATAAGTATATAAATAGAAAAGGGGATGATGAATAGGGTAATAGGATTACTTATGTAGTTTTAAAATATACCTCAGACAACTGGTAAAACATTGGATAGATATCTCGATGGATCATGTTTGGTAAGAAATGAAAGATCATTTCAGATCTATTAAAGATTTTGTGCTGAATGACACAGATGTCTCACATGTAGTCATAGTTATAGTCTAATACAAATGCGATTTAAAGAAAAAATGCTGGAACCCTTATTATACAGCCCTTTCTAGAGAATGTATTGTTGGTATATCATTTTTAAGAAAACTTAAATTACGTGAAATAGCTAGAAGCGATATGTAGATTGAGACACCTGGGCTCAAGCGGTCACCTCGCCGTTTTCTACTGCGCTGAGTGTTGTGTTCTTGGAGTCCGTTTCATGTATGTTTGTAAAGTCCCTCGCGACACAGGATATATTCTTAATCCGTGAGTTCTCTTAAAAAAAAAGACAAAAAACCCATGGAAAAAACCAAATCTTTATAGAAACCCACTTAAAATTGTATAATTACATCATAATTTGTAGCTTCACTTCCTACGAGAGCTTTATCGATTTCAACGTTCATGGTGTTATGTAATATAACACCATAAACGTTGAAATCCATAACGTAGATAAGAACACGTGATGAATCAGTGACGTAAATATCGTGAAATATGATGCGGAATCATTGCGTCGTCGAAGATTATGTGACGGAATTGCACAATCTATGAAGTTACGTCAGAATGCAGCGGAGCGGTGTGGTAGTGGAACTCTGGCGCAACGAGCACAACGACCACTATGCGGCCCTGTCTGACACGAAAACCCACATACAACTTATTTCATAATAAGTTATTAAAAACTAGGAGATTCAGTGTTGATAAACCTCTTAAACTTATCTCTAGTAAAATCAATTTCATGAAAACACAACAAACTTAGCCTCCTTTTTTTTATTGTACGTCAATGATCAACGTTTTGAGTTTCTCCGACATTCAATGCTCGTATTACTAAGTTTACAAAATACACAAATTGTTTTATTAAATACTTTATTATTATTACTATATCAGTCAACGCTGTGATAATACACAAAGTGTAATAAAACACACAACAATTTGCCATTCAACTACTGTCTACAATCCTAAAACATAAATAAAATCGCAAAGGTGAAAAATGATCCCAGAAAAATTGGAGAAGTGAGGAATAGGAAGAGGGATCGTTTGCATATAATGCTCTAAAAAAACCTAATAAATTTATATGCTGCGCGGCAAAACCCATTGATAACAATAAAATCTTAAAACTAGTTTTTATCTTTTCTAAAGTTTAACCAAGGGTTATTTTAAAGTTAGCTGGAACCATGGATAAACTTGTCGAAGTTGTCGCGGTGCTTGCCACTAGGGTCGTTTTTCTTGACGAGGGCATCCCATTCCTTTGGGTGTTTGGCCTGAATAGCCTTGATAACTTTTCTGATATTGGTTTTCTGTTTCTCGGTACACTTTGCGCAAGTTGTCTCTATGGCGTCTGGTAGAGTCTCTGTGAATATAAAAGCCTTGTTATAAAAAGGTTATATGTATTTTTAAACTTTATTAAAGTCCCCAAAAGTTCAAAGTCCTAATGACCTTTTTTTACAATTGTCTAGCCCTCTTCGCAAAACCTCTTCGCGAAACTTTTTTTAAAAGACTATATGATTATTCTAGAAAAGCTTATCCTTATATATTTTGTGCACTGTTAATTTTTGTTCAAGACTGGTAATAGCGTGGATTAGTATTTAGTAGGACTAGGGGGGGGGGTGGCTATTATGGTTAGCCCCTCCAACTAAGCGGAAAGCTATCTCAGGTGTGGTACTGTGATAGGAAAACACTAAGTGGGTTGAAACCTTAATCTTAATCGCACTTTAAACAAACGTTTGCAAATTTGTACACCAATACATATTATGCACCTACTTCGACAATGGCTCAATATGTTTTCCTTTTGTGAGCCTTGACCTCGACCTCGTTTGTGCAAACACATTCAAGTTACAAGCACTGGGTTTATCCTGAGTTACGTAAATATGTACCTAGTTAATTCGATAAAATACCAAATGTCAACATTCAATAATATTCAAGATAGAAAATACCACATGATCTTTGACAAGAGTAAATATTATTTTACATTTGAATGTCTTGATAGTGTACTTATTAAAAATAGTAGTGTTTAAAAATAGTCCATAAGTTTTATGACGTAAAAATATTAATATTTAATACTTACTTCTGAAGTCAGATCCTTCTGGAGTGCATCGCCCTTTTTCGAGGAAGCAATTGATGTACGCTTTTAGTAATCTCTCGTTAGATATCAGGGTTTCTACATCAAAGTTATCATATTTAGAGCTGTACTTATCCGCCGCAAGCGCCGCCACGATCACACACGATAATATTACCAGAACCCTCATTTTGATTATTGAATTCTGTAAAGAACACTTGAATTTAATTCCTGTTTTTTTGATTAATCAACTTCGTCCTATCACAATGAAACAAAGAATGATGCTTGTGCCGAATGTTAAGCGTTGAAATCTATTTAACAAACTGTTTCCATGGACATTGGACGAACATGAAACGTGGTATGAATGTCAATGCAATTTATTCGGTATAAGTACTACGATTCATATTCATAAATCTGTAACATTATTACATTAGACGGTTTAATGTGAATATTAATTAGTCTAGATAAGACTCGTTTGATGTAAAGAATTTCTAATTTCCAATCTTTTATTTTTCCAATTTCCTATTAACTGTAGTCGTGAAGTTGCTCTGTTCCAGTGTTTCACTGTATCACAACTCACAAATTAATTAGTCACTGATTGCAGCGTGCAGTTCATTCACCCACCTTTTACTCTCTATAATCACTTAAAGAACTAGCAGTGGCAGAAAGCGACAGTGGTTTATATTGACGACGGTATACCCACTACCTTTGTTGGCACATGGGTCAATGCTTACGCACTCAAGGCAGACAAATTTGAACCTTTTCTTAAAACCCGTATGAACTTTAATGAATTTGCAATATGGTTTTCATAAAGCCCTACAGATATTATTGGCGAAATATATATTTGACCGTAACTTGTGGTCGTAAACAAACCCAGTACTCATAGATTGCTGAATAACTAGTTGCACAATTAAGCAATCCCAAAGTTTCCCATTTCAGTCTCTATAAGGAAAAGAAGTATTAAAAATGTGTTGCCCCAATACTTCACAATCGTGTTTAATTGATTACATATTTATCGATTCGAAAGGATTCAGCAATAATAGCGATTATGTTGAGTACGGTTTCTTAAGCACATATATTTTTAATATTTTACACATTTACTGCATATAGTCTTATAATTGTAGTAGCCATTGCGAATGATAAAAGTGAATAAAGAAATATAATTATTAATAAAAATAATATCAATACTAAATTTTTTATCACATCCTAATCTGTTCAGGCTACATATAATGCTAATAATAATCAGCAATGTACATTATTAATAGCTATTAAATTACCTGCCAGCATAGATCGCTAGTTGACAATCTGGCTAAAAAGTCACTAAATTAAAAATACAGCTGAATACACTGACTCTACTTTTTTGATATCAGTTTGATGCTTCTACCTAATTGAAGCTCGGGGAGATGAAGCCTCAGATAACTCATCAAGTCACCAACATAATGATAATATATATCTACATTCATATATTATGATACTAACACAAATATATTTCACCATCTCACTTGATTTTTTATTTTTTAGGTATTTTTGTATTCTACTGATTATTGATTACAATTTACCTAAAAATTGGATATTTAGGTAAATTGTAATCGTGATGCTCACAACTGAAAACAAACCTATGCAATGCAAAACAAACTCAACGTTATTTTGATTATAATTGCATAAGTTGATACAAATGCTATGTCAATAGCTTTACCGCGGCAGTCCCGATTGCCACGTCTTTTTTTTTATTTCAAAGTGACGTTTTATGTAAAAAATTGCGATAGTGCCCTACAGCTGTCTTACTTTTTATCAAAGTTTCTTACAGATAATAGTGGAAATTTCTACTAGCTGACGTTAATACACAGACAGAAATAAGACTTTGTTTTATTTCATAAATAGCACAGTTTTTTTTCTGGTATCACTGATACGCTTTAAGTGTCAAAAATATTATTGAAATAAAAAAAAAAAGTTTATCCTTTATTAAAAACTTTACATTAATTTACAAATAACATTTTAAGGTGATTTAAAATAATTATTTGTTAAAAATAACAATGATTAAAACACAACAGAATAGGCGCTTTGATGATTCAAACACAATAACTTGTGCACACAAAGGAATAGCTTTGACATCAAACCGATAGAGGTCATACAAAAGTTTCTGATGTCAACGATTTATGAGTACCTATTTTATACCTTGGTAGCTTATATTTTGCATGTCTCTTATCTGAATATCAGAAATTACATTATAAATAAAAACTGTGTTTTATTGGTATGTAAAAACGAAACGCTAACAATATTACTATTATATACTTTGTACCGAGCAAAATGTTGTGAGATTTAATTTTAACTTAAGTTATTAAAAATAACAACATTTTATAACGATGGTGATAATGTTAGACATATTTTTTACTTTAATAAATATAAATAGATGATAAAAGGTAACAACAATCAGTAAATTAGGTACAATAAATGTATAAAAAAATGTTGATTGGAATATTACGGAAATTCAATAATCTTATGACGTTTGCAAGGTATCTTTCCGTCAAAATAAACGCCTTATTTCCTTGGCATTTCCTAATAAACTGTAGAGGTAAACTCCCTTTGGCAAAGTTCAACATAAATTAAATTCAGGGTTATAGTGATCACTACAGTCAATAATTTTCTTACATCTAATTGCGTACTATTATTTAAAAAAAAACTATACAAGAGAGTAAAAACTAAACATGTTTATATTAACTTTTGAATATATTTTTTACACAGACTTAACAGACAGAATTGATAGAGAGGGTCAATGAAAGTTATGTCTGTGTAATATAGACAGGTTCACATATGTGATGATAACTATATGTGTTAAGTAAGGTACTATCCTCTGACTCAGAAAAACTACTCTGATAGTATATATTTCTCATTAACCATTGATAGCACTGTAGTGAAATTGATAATTAATCTGTTGATACTGAAACAAAATAAAACATTACCAATTATCAAAATGGCAAATGTAATAACTAAAATATTACATAATAACCACTTACTTCATAAAATTACACCTCAAGCGTCGTTTATAGCCTTTTCAAAAGCTTCATAGTATTTATTCTTGGGATCAAGTTTTGTCATTAGTTGTTGATAACTCTCGGGAAAGTTCTGCCTAAACGCGTTGAAAGATTTCCTGGCTAGTCTTCGCTGTGATGGAGAACACTTCTTGCAGGCGGTCACTACGATTTCCGGCAATCTTTCTGGAAGATAAAATTGGAAAGGAATAGTTCCCGTTTGGTCCCATTTAAATTTGAAAGAAAAACATCTCTTAAGGTGAAAAAGTAATAAATTGAGATTATAATGTATGCAAGCACATTGTAGTTGGTGACACTTTTTTAAAAGGTATTTTTATCTGAATTTAGTATAATATACAATTACATTAACAGGATATCACGACACTCACCAGTTGGGATTACGCGACCCTGACCGAGCTATTCTTTACAATTCCCAATTCATCCGTCTAAGAAATACCTTTAGATTGTTCTCCTTTCTTTTTATACACATTAGTCAAATTTCTAAAATGACGCTGTCTTGATTTAGATATGATCGTATTGTATTATAATATTTACAAATGTGTACTAATATTATCAAATGTGAAATTTAAAACGTTTCATGATTTTTTTTTAATTTTATTTGATTATTGTTAGACCATATCAGATACATACCAATATGTATGGCCCAACCATTTTTGTAACTTTGCATCATAATAGTTTAATATACAAGCTACGAATACCTAGAATATGTCAAATATTTTCCTTATGTTATAAACTAGAATACCCGTACATGTTTTTTATTTAGGTTTAATTACTGAAGAAATGATACTATAATTTACTATTTAATAAATAAACTTTGTAGCTTTTATACGATAAATGTTTAAATTGTACTTAACATTACTGCATCTAATCTCAATCAAACATGATTTACCCAGTTTACATCTGATCTTTCAAAAGAATACTTATATTGTTAAAACGTGTGTCATAATTTTGCATTAACATTTAATTTTTGTGACAATACGACTAAAAACATATGACTTAAATTAATACTTACGTCGAAAAACTCTCCCAACGGGTGTACAAGGTCCTTGCTCCAAGAAACAGTCTAAGTACTTTTGCAACAATCGAGGATTTTGTATTAAACTGTCGACGTCATAGTAATCATACTTGCTTTCGTAATATTTCTCTTGGGCACTAATTATTTCAATTAATATTAGAAATAATAAACGTATAAAATTAGATTTGTTTAGTACGATCATTACTGTAATGTTTGATCTCGAGGCAGTATTGAGTGGTGTCATGAAATTGGCGTTAGTAGAGACTAAATGACGTGAACATCTCAAATGCTTGTATATAAAACCCTGATTTTGATGACCTTGAACATAAATAATATTTATAAGGAAGAGACTCACAAAAAGTTTAAGTGGTTTATTAAATATTCTAAACGTTGGGCATAATTATGGTGGTATCTAAGATATAGATTCGAGAATAACAATAGAACCATTGCTTATGCGGAGGCAAAAATTACATGTATATTGACGTAAATCTAATAATAGACTAACGCGACGTTGGGAATAATTTTGTAAAGAAAAGAAGTAGTTATTGAATCGACTTTTTTATGTTTGTTACCTTAAAATTTCAATTGTTTTTTGTTGACTAAGCCCTCCCAAACACCCACTACTGTAACTCATGTACACTAGGATAAACAGCAGTTGCCCACGAATACACCGAGTAATGACACTCGGGAGGTCTTAGGAAAAGTTTAACTGTCTACGCACGACGATGTGTTTCAGAATTAAATTGGGTTAGTTGGAAATATAATAAACCCACTTCGATATTTGTGACTTTTTCTTGTTACAAATCATCATGATGTGGACCAGGGATTCCCAAACTATTTTGGGCGAGAGCCCCTTTTTTCTAAAATGAACTGATACCACAGACCCCGATAGCTAAATGACTGCATGCTTATGAACTTATTGAGTTTTTTAAAAGTACAACAATGATACAATATTTTAGTCATTCTATAAGAATGACTAAAATTTTGTATGATTTTTTTTTGTATTACTTTTAACACACAATATGTTGGTACACGAAACACAACTAATACTATATCTGAAAACTTTCAAGTAAGAACTTGTGTTAATTAATATGGGTAGATTTTTAGAACTTGCCGACCCCCAAAATAAGTTTTTTTTTTATCAAACCGATTTCGAGCCCAAGGGGTCGCTATCGGCTATCGACCACTTTGGGAATCCCTGATGTAGACGCATCGAAGTCGATGATACTATTTTTAAAACTAGTTGTTAAGGATAACACATATGTTATAAAACCGTTTGGATGGTTCTAGAATTATCTCTAGTGACATATTTTATTAAAAGAAGCTAAGAAAATGATCACCGAATACTTGAACGATTAAGTACGTATACTGAGATTCTAAAACACACAACTTTAGATTCGTATAACTCTTGTCCAGATTATTACCAAAAGGCTTGTTGTTCTTTCTAAAAATCTTATAAAACTTGCTTTATCTGGGTATTCTCTAACGCCTCGAACGATGTGATGTTTAGATTAGTTTTATTACACCAATAATTATAGTAATCAAATTGACTTATCGGTTTTTATCCTTAGACGCATATTTACATGTATATCTAAAGTTCTTATATTATATATTATATGTTTGTTTCACTCGTTAATTTTAGTGTAAAATGGGGCGATTGAGTACATTAATATCTTTAACTCAAACTTATAAGAATTATAAATAAAATTATTTTAAGAGTATATAAATTAGCCAGGTCACTTCCAAATCAACAATACATTGCTTGTTTTTAAGGAGTTATACAAATTGGAATTTCCCGTGTTTTCGATTATTATTTTTATGTCATTTGAAATTTATGATCACTAAGGTATTGTACAAATGATGTAGGTATTATTGTTACTATATATTACCTATATTTTATAAAAAAACATAACATTTATTCGAGAGCTACAAACTCACTTAGAATTAGTTTTGTGTACTGCGTAAAGTTTATTTTTATTTTTACTGTTACTATTACTCATTTTTATGTGTGTGTAAATTTAATACAAATAATGTCAAGAATATGTGAAGAAACTAGCTAGATAATGCGACAGGGTCAAATATTCTCTAAGCTTAATTATTATAATCTCTAAAGACTTCTGGGTAGAGTAACTTCTCAAAACATATCATGAGATTAGGAAAATTACTCAGTAGGAAATCTGTGTATTTTTAGATTTGTTAGCTACTTAGGTAAATACTTTTTGCACTCTTATATGTAGCTATTTAATCACCATTAGGTGTACTAAGTACTTACATGCCAACAAAAAGTAAATATCTAGTCAATGTGTTGTATGTAGGTATCTGTAAATCCTACTAGAAGGATTTTCATGTTCATTTGACTTTATATTACTAGCTAGGTATGTGTCATTGTAATAATATGAATGTAAAGTGCAGATCTATTCCTCCGATCTAAGAATTGTGCAGATCTATACTATAGTGATGTATTTCATGTTTTACTATCTTTTAGAATATTATTAATATTGCCAATTCATATGTATTGAACAAGTTCAGGAATATATTAATGCATGTATATCCCATACAAGAAAGAGATTCAGTTATATAGCAACGCTATTATTTGATAGTGAGTAGGAGCCACAGATATGCATGAGACGCGGAAAGAGGTCTATCAACATAATACATATATCACAACTGACGCTGTTTATGCTTTTAGAGAACGACGTTCCTTTACCTGCTAATAAGTGAATATCGGTAGTCATATTTACTATACGAATTTATGTACTACGAAAAGTATTTAAGATCTATCCTAATCCCATTTTCGGCATTGGATTTAATTTTAATAATTTATGGCAAATTTTGTATGTTTCTCACAATTTTGTTTTGTTATTTATCATAATTAAGCTCTTTGATGTTCTATAATAAAGGCACTAACGTAATGCCTCGTGTCACGTTTAATTTTTAAACAAAACCGGAAAAACGACATACCTAGAACATTACCGTCATGGTCATATTAATATTTGCTACGCGGTCATATTAATATGTTATTATAATTATTTTCGGTGATTAGCAAATATTTTTATTAAATTCCATTGATTCCTTTCCTTGCATTATTTGTTTCATCAGGTATTTTATCAAACGTCCTGGCTATGGCGAGCGGTGTCATTGAAAGAAACAGTTTAATTTTAGAGATATTCCTATAGGTACAATTTCGCAGTTGAACCTATCAAAACCCTACAATGTCTCTAATATGATAATTTTACTAAGTTTTCACAGTTACAGTTCTGCTATAGGACAGCGAGCCCTCTCTACCTTCCTCCGCTCACCGCCTTCTCTGATAAATGATATTCATTTCTACTTTTGAGATTTTTCACAATTCGAACAACTGCTTAAAGCGAGAGAAGAAGGAAGGAAGAGAGACTTCAATAAGAACTTGGTGGATGCACAAACCGAGAAGAAATAAGTAGTGTTTTAAAGAACAATGGCAGAAACATATTTACCTAAAACTGAAGCGTTTAAAAAATTGGCTAACAGTAACCTTACTAAATATTTTTTCTATGATTTATCATTATACCGCCATGTGTTGTATAAGTCTAATAAGAGATTGGATATTTTTAAAGATTTTATTTGACCTAAGTACGTAATGTCAGAATCGCCATCACGAACTGACTAGGGATGCGTGATGACTTTATTATATTATGGAACGTTTTATCGATAATCGATTGTTATAACTTTGGCTTAAATATCTATCGAAGGTTCACCTATTATGATTATGAATTTGCTTCTGCCCACGGTTTTACTCATACGCTACCGTAACTAGTACTGTAGTGACTAAATCAACCTAATTAGAAATAATTTAGAATATTTTTGACTCTTTTTAAAGATTTTTGCTACACCAAAATGAATAGAATATAGTTTCGTTATTTTCCTACAGAAAAATACTAAAACAATATACTGCTTAGTGTGATGAGAAAAAGACATTGTAGGTTGATAACGGCATATAAATAGACATGCATCGATATTTTTAAAATGTCGATACGTCGTCGTTGCACTTACTATAACCCGGCAATCTCGTGCGCGACCGTCCCGCGGGGTGACAGACAGTGGCGGGGGCGAGGTAGCGCGTCATTCTAGCACACGGCCACGGTACTATTATAATACAGTACTGCAACTTCATACAAACGGACGAAACGGGAGCTATACCTACGCGCCTCGATCTCGGGGTGCGCTCGGGGCGCAGACAGTTACGGCTGTACCGCAGTGTCGAACGGACTGCGTGTTGTTTTTTTAACAATAACCGCGCGATTTTTTCTCTAAAAATCAGTTAATATGACGAGTAGGAAATATTGTGCTGTTTTTGGTTGTATGAATTCGTCAATAACGCATCCAGACATAAGTTTTTTTAAATTACCTGGAAACTCTGAAAAGTAAGACTATAAAATAATTTTACTTACTAGTACGTAGGTACATAATGTGTGTCTTTTTAATGGATAAGTATTTCCTTTTATCTCACGAAAAAAAAGGTGTTTGGATGAATAAATAAAGCAAATAGAGTAACGGAAAGTTATTGAGACGAGTGAAATAAGGAGTTACATGCAGTTCTGAATGAATCATGATACGGTAGGTACCTACCTACTTACGCTTGTGTTAAAACTTCGGTGCATGTTTGTTTTGTTACTTTGCATAATTAAAAAAAAAGAAAATTCTACTTAAAGACGTGGTATTTTATTATTAATAATATATCTTTATTATCTGTGTGTATGAATAATACTAAAAAAAATTTGTTACCGTCTGTGTGTCATTAGACAGTTTTCGAAATTTTCACAAAGTGTTTCTGCTGCTACTATAACAACATATACCACTAAAAACTGGTTTTATTTTCTCGGTATTAACAACAACAACTTGACTCATATATAATATTTAGATGTTTGAGGGTTGTGATTTTAAAACATTCGTAGTCAGCAGTTCAGCTTTTTAATAATTAATTAATTGGTGACCAAAGAATTTTTGTTTTGAGTTGTTGCGAGTTGTAGGTTATAGGTTAGGTAATTTATAGAGACGTTAATTAGCTGAGATAAAAAGTTACTTACTCGTCAGCTGTTTCTTGCATTCTAGTTGAGTAGGTGGTAGGTGTTGGAGTTTCTAAGGATTGGAGTTTTGTAACGCGTATGGAGAAAGCACATTTATTTTATTTTATAGAAGGATTTTTTTCGGTCGCTAATTTATAAGCCAAATTACAATCACAAATCTAAATAGAAACAGAAAGTAGGCAAATATCACTAAAATGCTGGAGACGGGCAGCCCTAACGCATGTTTACGTACCGCGCGGCTGTAGGCATTTATTTCTATCATGCGGCCGAGTTACAATACTGTATTATAATAGTACCGTGACACGGCTACACACCGCTACACCACCCGCTACCCGCTGACATCGTGAGTACCTCGTCCCCGCCACCGTCTGTCACCCCGCAGGACGGTCGCACACGAAGTTGACGGACTATAGTCTTGTCGTTTGACACTTACACGCATGACTTACATACCATTTCTCACAAGGCAATTGTATTTTATTTGGTTATTTTACTTTTGTTTAGTATTAAACTCTCATATATGTTTATTTTAATTTTATATAGTGTTACTCCATTATGCATGATGTGATGCCTTAAAATGTTGTGCATTAATCTCAATATAATGGATGCATGCTTTAGATTTTAGTAAATAATATCACAACTACTGACTGTTGAATAACTAAATAATTAAATAAATGCTCCCGCCTTGTGTAAATGTGTATTGAAGTACATTTATTCAAATTATTATTAATAATTTATGTATTTATGACTAGTATTACACCTGCTATGTGAGCGAAGATTTTTTTCTATTGTTTACCAATACATGCCAAGCAAATACCCTTCCTTCCTTTACCCATTTAGAGAGTCGGCTAACACTTTCTACAGCAAAATAGGGTTGCTTATAAGTAATAATAATGATGAATAACATTTTCGAATATTTGACACACAACGCCATCTAGTTTCAAACAAAACATTTACAATATTTTAGTACTTAACCTCGAAACATTCAAAATCCAAAATCTTTTTTCCTAGACTTCTTTCGCTAGTATTTTTTTTATGAGAATATTCAAGAATAAATTCTCAAGGGTTATAGGCATTTTTGATATTTAAACGCTGTCAATTCACTTCAAATAAAATTATGTATGGGGACTTGCCATTGTCCTTTAATAATTAGTGATATACATTTACATACTTATCCTCGAGGTTTTTATTTTATTATTTACAACATATATTAGCATATGACGACATATTCAATTCGTTATTAAAATCAATATAAATACCTAAGTGTTGAGCAAACAGTCAAATCTGCATTTGCTCATAGAATGAGCTAGTTCAAGAGCCACTTCATATGTAACCGCAATACTACTTTTTAATGTTCTGAGGTAGCACTGGTCATTTGCTACCGATCTCCTTTCGAAAAGATTTTGCAGAATCTTTACATATATTGAACTAGCTTTTGCCCGCTTCTCCGTCCGCTTGTATGTCGATAATCATGGTAAAAGTAGCATGTCCTTTCTAAAGAATCAAAGTATCTCTATGCCAAATTTTATTAAAATCGTTTCAGCGGTTTAGCCGTGAAAGCGTAACAGACAGATAGAGTTAGTTTAAGATTTATAATATTTGAAGAACATAAAAAAAGTTAGGATAACATTACGCTTTAAGACCATGATCAGATGACGAAAATTTAAGCTATTGCCATTAATTCTGATCAATAAAATAAGTTGACCGTTTAACCCCATATTTTTTGTATAAAACAAAAGTGCCTTCAATGTAATATTAACTGGATCAATACTGTATCATTATGGTATACTTAGGTTTAATATCTAAACGTATCGATCTGAACTGCAATAACGCGTGTTCAACGTCAGAGATGCACTTTGCTATGTGAAAACTATACTAAACTCAACAATAACCAAGCAGTCTCTCAACGCCTATTATTTAAATTCATATTTAATATACTATGTGTGTATTTTACAGATATTAAAAAAGCCGTGTGGTGTCGTGGGACACCCGATAGGAACGAAGTTGTAACGATCGAGTAAAACTGATTCTGCACATTTTAATTACAACGCCATCTATGAAAGTAGCTATTACCTACATATTTTTCAGTTGGTTTCTAATTAAAACAATTTATACATTGGTAAAATCTCCTTGAGAAATGATTTCCTATCTATTCGATAGATGGCGCTGAATGACTGACATAAAAAGATAGAAATGAAAATATCTGGCTTGCTTTCTATAAGAGAGAGAGAGACAGACAGAGAAACATGCGACGCCGCACAGCTTACAATAGCTTACTATAGCAAAAAGTGTCGTGACCAATTTTCGTAAGATTTTTTTCCGTATAGCCCCCTTTCACAACGCGCGATAAGGAACTTCGTTCCAATATAACATGTATATCTTTATTTATAATTTTGTTGTTGCATCATAAGTTGGCTAACCTAAATACTATCCTATATACTCCATCCTGGTTGTCTGTGCGATCGCAGATCAAGACAGTTAATTGTACTGCTTCTTAATATATTTCTAGACTAGCTAAGACCCGCGGTGTTACCCGCGTTTGTTGTTATAACCGCGGCCAACGCCGCGGGGCGAAGCTAGTCTTAAAAAAGTAGCCTAAGTTACTCCTTATGTCATCAGCTATCTGCCAGTGAAAGTCCCTTTGAAATCGGTCCAGCCGTTCCAGAGATTACCCGGAACAAACAGACAGACAGACAGACAGATATTTTGGTATATGTACCGTGTAAACATACATATGCATTTAGTAAAAAGCGGTTATTTTAATATTACAAACAGACACTCCAATTTTATTTATTTGTATAGCAATCTATATCTATATGCAATACTATTTTAAGTACATTAAAAGTATATCTCAATTTTAGAAATTTACAGAAATATGTAAGGTTACGTATACGTGGTCGGATAAACCAGGCCGACCAGAGGACCTAGAGAAATGAACGTTGTCGGATGTGCTGGGGTAAATTCGTATAAAACTGACATCTATAGAGACCTTCATATAGAGTAAAATACATTATTAGATGAAGCAGCTGTAATATAGAATCAATTATGTAAACAGATCAAAGGAAATACACTGCGTTTTCAACAAAAAAAAATAGTGACAAGCTATTTTGGCAAGCCCATTGGACTAATTTATGTCAATAACATACAGGATAAATAGCTATCTAAGGAACACAATTATTTATTCTGTATTTGGGTGTAGTTTATAAGTAATAGCGAGTATATTTATCAGTATTCCCGTTATTGTAGCACGGGCTGTACGAATCGACATCAGTTTCTCTGTTGTTTTGTTTGTCATTCATTATTCAGTGAGCACAGAAAATAAGATTACGTTAGTAAAATTATTGAAGCTAACACTAAGTACCATAGAATATTATTACGTTGATCCTCTTCGGTTAATGCGAAGTTTTTGACTTCTAACCTTCCTCTATAAATTTTTCGTTTTCTTTTGAGAAAAGATTTTTTTTTGTAAAGTTGGTCGGAATAAATTGTACACTTGAAATACTTAATTCTCTAGAAGTTGACGCTTGTCTCAAGAACTGAATTGGATAATATTTTTATCATCAGTGTCTATTGTTAAAGTCCAACTGAGGTGTTAAGGGAAATAATGGTGCTTGGTAAATTAAATGTCTGGAAAATGGCTGCATAAATTATCGTATAAAGTCCGGCTAGAAAGTAATACAGCTAACTGTCACAAAAAATACGGGAATATTTAAAAACAGTTTAATAATTAAGAGTTAGCTACAGCAGCTTCCAAAGCAGCAAAGTGTTTTCCTTCAGAATCATATTTCTTGTTAAAAGCTTCATATTCTTTAGGCAGCTTATTCTTCAATGCTAGCAAAAATACGTGGAAGATGTGTTTCTGAGCTTGTGTGCACTTGATGCATGCTGTTTCAACTGCTTCTGGGACATCCTCTGGAAAAAGAAACAATGAATTAAGAATAAATGATCATATATAATGTATAATTAACTTATAAAAACCTATCACTGACTTCAATTACCCTTCCATCAAAGTTCAGCAACATAAGGTAAGAATTATATTTTCAAATTTATATTATATAGTTTAGTGGTGTTTTATCTACAAAATTTCAAAATTTCCTTCGGATTCTCTGGAATTCCGGATTCTTTTGAAAATCGGGTCAAAATGAACTGAGAAATTGAAAATCAAACATGCAAAAAATACAGTCGAATTGAGAACCTTCTATTTTTTTAAGTCGATTGGTATTATTCTCTTCCTTTTTATGTTACACCACTTACTCGCAGTATCAGAGTAAAGTAAGTATCATAGTATATAACTCTTTTTCTTTCATGAACATTTATAATTCACGAGTCAACACGACTTTTTGCCGTTATTATTCATATATATTTTCAGTGTCTTTAATATATACTTGAGTGTTAACAAAAAAAATAAATGAACAATAAATTACATTGAGATATCTTAATAAATTATAAATTTGATATAATTAATGGCGATATATCGAAAAGAGGTATTCTAAATTGGCCATAATAACGAAACTAAGACTGGTACTGAAGTAGGTAAGTACACAATATACCTCCACATTTCAAGGCGATATTGGTGGTTTAATAGCGTTTTAGTTTAGTTTAATAATATTGCTACAAAAACTATTGCAGTTAACGGTGTTCTATTTCTAGTGTTTCTTTTCAACGAGCTATGGTTGGTTGTGATAAGGTATTATAGTTAATTCTTATACATTTTGGTTTTAAAGACTCGAAAATACTCTAATTCATCGGATCTCTTATGCGAGTGGGACAGCAGGGCTACAAGTCAAACACTACATAAAAATGATTGACTAATGGAGGACTAATTTTATTCTTGGACCAAAAATGCTTGTAAAACCCCTTTACCAAACAATATTATTTTGCTGCCTTTGCAAATCAAATTTGTCATCATAACAATTTTTGTTCAAGCGGTTTACAGAAATAGAGCAGGTTTTCTGTATTTAAAAACTTTATTTGGATTCAAAAAGATTTTAAGGAAAATGGTCACTGAGAAAGCTTACAGATTTTTTTGGACACTAAAATGAGATGATCCATTGCATTGTTATAAGAGACGAGCAAAACAAAAAACTCCTCAGAATAATTTATAAAATAACGATTTCCTTCAAAACGAAGTTTTGTTTTTTTTTAATAAATATATGTTCCAATAGAAATGAGTGTTTCTTTTCGTACACATATTTTAACTTAAACTCTGGAGAAAAATAATTGTTAACTTGTTATTTAAGAAAAAAACTCGCATAACAATTTTATTTTATTATATAAAAATATGTATTTACTCGCACACTCCGAAGACTAGATTGATTATGGTAAAACTGTTATGTTTCTAGTAAAACAAGCATGTAATTTCGTCTTAGTTCGAAACTAACTAGGAGTTAGCTAAGCATTTTGCATAAATTATCAAGACATATCTTCACAATGGGTTCTACGTGATATCCTAAAATATCTATAAATCACAAGAGTGAACTAAAAAACGAACAGTTGTAACGAAAAAGAAAATGATTCTTTAGTAATTGTAACGATAGTAACTCATTTGTATCTCTTACGTTTGTGGTGCAACGAAACTCTCGATATTTGTAATAAGTTATTGATTAAACTTATCGACTGCAAACATAAAAATACGCAAATAAACCGAACGTTAACCTCTGATACTCTGATGCTTATACTCGTATCATATGTAACTGTTTACTGTAAAAGTCATTAACATGTCACCAGTAGCTTCAATGTAGAATAATTACGTCCTTTGTAAAATGAAGACATAAAAATGGCCTACCAAAGCCACGTTTCTTTCACATTGATTATGAGGATAAAGTTTGTTAAAAATTTACTGAAAAGGAAGGTTTATTATTTTTAATAAAAATAGCTATATTATAAAAAAAACGTACATGATTCTAATGTTGTCCTATTTTGGGTGGGTATAGGTATAAATATTATAATTAAGTGTCACTGATTGTATGTATAAATATTTTTTCTTACTTATTTTCTTAGACTGTAACTTGTATTATACAGTATGTTTTAGTTTACTGTCTAATTCTATTAATTATAATTTGTTTGTTTTATTGAATTATATATTCTCATAGTATGATTGATTCCTGTGACGGTCATCGGACAAAAGCAACACTAAGACTCTGAACAACTATATAAAAATATTTATTACTCAATTATTTTTTTCGTAAAAACTTACAACAAAGAATCATGAAGATCAGAGCTTGAAAATCGTAAACAGTTAGTTTTATTAACTAACCTTAAGCTTTGTGTTGCTAAAGAAAAATGAAACAATTCATGCTACGTTGAAATGCCGTTCTTACATCAGCTTGTAGTTAAAAAGAATAAAATCAGATAGGTATTGTATAATCGGATTACTTAGTAATAGTAGCATATAATAATCGTAACGAATATTATAGATTAGAAAATGATTTGTGTTTGTTTGTTGATTCGTTTGTTACGTCAGTCAATCACCGTGAAATGTTGTATACACGATTTAAAAATACAAAAAAGGTATAACGATCATAGGAAAAACTCAGTAAACATACGTAAGTAATCCCCTGTAAGTCCACTACATGAAAAAAACCTTTGTACTCTAAAACAAGTTAGAAGTTCTAAGGAATTATCAGCAGCGGTATTAAAGTCGACTCGACAAAAATGCATGATACGCGTAACTATGCGAACTACTCTCTGAACATCAGCATGGGACACTGTTAAATGGCAACGCACTTCTCCTCTGTGATTGTGCGTTTTGGAAAAACCCCTGTTCAATACCAGACCGGACTGGTAAAATGGTGATGACGTAATGTTTATTGAATAAAATCTAACCACACGCTGTGTGTGGTTAGATCTTCGTGTAAAAAACAGACCCATTATTTTAATTACAGTTTTATGAAACAACAACAAAGTGTTGTTTGGATTTTTTGTAATATTATCAAATACATTATAGTAACTTAATAGGTATCTTCATAATAATTATTATAACTCAACGGAATACATAATAACTGATAGTACCTAGTTATAGAATTAACATGAAAATTTAACTTGTCATAGCGAACTAAACCAAATTTTTAAACGTTTCTACTAGTTGATAGATTCACGTATACCTACTGGAACATCTACTTTTTAAACGTACTTTTAGCTTAAAAAATAGTAGGTCGTGTTTGAACACGAGCGAGTTCCAATGTAGCAAACTTCTTCAACCTTCTCTAAAATAATTACATTTTCACCGTGTTGAAAGTATTATTTATTTGAAAAATTATCTCAAAATATATTTTAGGCCACCATCGTCAGTTGATCCAGTACTAGATTATAGAACTCTACATAAGGAGGAATCATCATCATCAACAGCCCACAACAGTCCACTGCTGGACATACGCCTCAATCAATCAATCAATCAATCATTTATTAATTGCTGAACATAATACATAGTCATGTAACATGTAAGGTGTCATTGGTAAATAACATTCGGCCGATTAAGGCATGCAAAATTAGTATTTTAGTAATATATCACATTTCTATTAAAAGTATACAATTCACGCTAATATAATATCCACAAAAATTTCAAAATATGTCAGAAGAAACAAATACAAGTTAAATAAACAATATCCTAAATTATACCAATAACATAAAGAAAAATTATAAATGTAACATAATTTCATAAATTGACAATATATTTGTACATAATATTAATAAATTAAATTCAAAGCCACACAATGTATTATTTTACACCTCTCCTTAGAAAGGAGGTTTTGGCCTACTTTACCTCGCTGGACAGGTTGGAGTAGTAATGATGTCCATAAGGAGTAATGATGATTAATTATTATAAAATTCTACATTAAAATTTGTCAATGATAGTATGTTCTGCCAGCAATAGCATTCAAGTAAGTAAAAATTGCCATATTAAGATTTCAATTAGTTTGCAATATTGTGCTTGAAGTGGAAAAGGAGACAGAGTCGTCAGAGACAATTTAGTGTACTAGTGTTTCCGGGTATTGATACCAAATGTAATATCTAACCATCCCTTATCTTGACCTCGATTGGTTTAATAAGAGCTCAAGTCAAAAAGTTATTTATACACATTTAATCTTCAAACATTGGTAATAGATACTTACTTTTGAAATTTCCAATAACGTCGTTACAAACCCCGGTGTCTAACACGCATGCAACCATTGCTTTTAGGGTGTCAAGATCAGCGACGGCAGCTTCAATGTCAAAATCGTCGTTTTCAGTGGTGTAAGTCTCGCCATTGACAGCAACCAGTGCCAGAAGAAAGGACAATATGCAGATACACTTCATGTTGATCTGAAAAGAAAGCGCATAAAAATGTTTGAGTTCTATTCTGAATTACGTGAATTTTAGGTACAAAATGTATTTAATATAGAATATCTACGAGTAATTTTATTATTTAGAGTCTGCCAATCAGTACAAATCTGCAAATGTATGACTGTGGCTTCAGAGTCCTGTATTCAGGCTTAACTGAGGTGTTATTCTGTTGAAAACCAGTGCCGTGTTGTACCAAAATACCGTCCTAACGAACATAGTAGAACCTCTTTCTTTCTCAAACAATGTTCAAAAATAGACTGGATATTCCAACAGGACTCTGCGCCATACGAGACACCTCATGAGGCACAATGAGCGCAAAACTGGTTGACCACCCGTGGAATTAACTTTATCGGACATGAAGACTGGTCCACTTTTAGTCCAGATTAAAACCTGCAGGACTTTAAGATACGGCAACATTTTGAGACAAAAGTCTCTTATTACAATTTGGAGTCTTTCCAAGCATCTCTGGTTAAAGCAATGGCAGAAATGAATGTGGTGCGTGCTGCGACCGATGCATGCGATGACTGGCCGCCTGACTTGATTAAGGGCATGTATTCAACATGGGGATGTATTTTAAATGAAAATCGGATCCTATAGATAATACCATTATTGTAAATTTAATTATAATTAATTATAAGTGTGGCATTTATTACATTAAAAGATTTTGAAATAATTTAGGACCTATATAAGTCAAACACGTGATCCTTCTTTTTACACTTCTCCACAGCTTACTGTGGAGAAGTGTAAAAAGAAGAAATCTTAATAAAAAGCGACGGATCTGAATATAAATTACTCTTGATCTGAAAATAAAATTGACCTTAGACATCTACGGATCGCTGATATAACTTTACACAATTTATCACATTCGTTTATATCATTTTAAACAAAAACAGTGTCCATATCAAGTAAATACGTAATCTACATTTATATATATTTACACAAAAATATATATACTATACAAAAGTAAAAAGATAAGTTTCATACATATTGGCATAATAAGAGAATCATTTGACACCGTTCAATTGACATCACTTGCGTAAAGTATATACCCTATGCATTATATGAAAATCACTTGAGTAGTTAAAACGTGAAAGTTAACTAACAAACAAACTCATATTGAGATTTATAACATTGTATAATTTATCTATTGTTAGGTTATAATATTAAGTTTGAAATCGTATTATAGGTACCTAGTAAATAAGTTACATTTCGCAGCATAATGATCGAGATAAATGTACATATACGAGTATAACAAAAATATAAGGTTATCTAAAGTAACATCGAATAGGTTACTTATTGTGCTTATGTTTGCTTAATTCCCCAACCTTGATAACTATAATTGACTTGTGTTTGTATGTATAGGTAAATTAATTTTAATATAATTTATTATAAACAATAAACTTACTTTTAGTCAAGACAATACTTTTTTACTGAGTGTAATAAGAAAGTCCAGTCCATCAATGATACTCGTATTTATTTCTTGAAGTAAATCTTTTCAGATATTTTTACAAGTCCGACTTTATAGCTAAGGAGCCGGCATTTCCTGAGGTTTTTTTTTTTACGCGGTGAATGCCTTTCGCACCATACCCTCCGTTGGGGAAACGTAGGGCGTGTGTGGGACTCCCGGAGAACTATGGTATGGTCTACCCACTAAACCCCGCGGCGGTCTACCTCGGCAGTCGGGAGGAGCTCCAGGAACGCATCGGCGACTTCTGGAGTCCTCCCAGCCGTACCTCATGTCTGAGGCACATCCCGGAGTGACCGTAGTCACCCTGGGGCAGGACGCTTCCGTGCCTCTCACTGTACTACAGAGTAAAAGGCGCAACAGCCCCCGACCGCACCAGAGTGTCATCTGTCTCGGGTCGTTTACAGCGGTCACATCGCCCCAAGATGCGGCCGCAGCGACCCTTAGGCGGCGTCCCCTTCACCGCCTCCTTCGAGCGGGATCGGCCCTCTCCTGATCCCGCTCTGCGGCCTCCTTTTGGAGCATAACATCCTCGCAAAAGGAGACCATCATTCGCCACTCGCCAGCATAGCCGCGATTAATGCTGGCGGTGACAGGTTTCGCCCGATCTGTCCGACCAGGACTCGACGTTCGGACTCCTATGCAGGGCAGTCCTCCAGCGTGTGCTGGGCGGAGTCCCAGTCGGACCAGCAATGGTGGCATTGTGCCGTAACCTCCCGTCCAATTCGATTCAAATACTCACCGAAGCAACCGTGCCCGGTAAGCATCTGAGTCAATCGGTAGGTGACACAGTCGTTCCTTCCACACAGACCTTCGAAGTGTGGGTAGCCACACTTCGAAGGTCGGCAAAACGGCTCCAACGGCGCGTTGGCTAGCACACCCCTGGATTACAAGCCGTGCCTGCCATTCCCGCAGAGCTTGCTTATGCGCGTTCCGCCGCAGCATTCCGGGCTCATGATCCGGAACGGCCTCCTCACCATTGCGACCGACAGAACGAACTTGGTCATAGACCATCGCGTCCATGTCGGCCAGAATGTCGAAGGGTGGATATCGCTCCAGGACCGTTGCCGCCTCAAACGAGATCGTACTATAACCCCGTACGACCCGTATGGCAATCAACCGCTGCAGGCTTCTGAGTAGAGCCCTGTAGCGGGAGGCACCGGCCAAGTCATTAGACCAGACGGGTGCCCCATAGAGGACCATGGCTCGCACGACGCCCATATAGAGACGGCGGACTTCTTCCCGTGGTCCCCCGAGATTGGGCAGCAGGCGATGCAGTGCACCCGCTACCCCGCGCACTCGGAAGACTAATCGCTCGAAATGTTTTTCGAAGCTCCACCGGCTGTCCAGGATGAGGATTAAGTACTTCATGTACCGGCCAATCTGGACTTCAGCGTCACCCACCCGGAGGCATGAGCTGGGTGGTTCCTGGCGCTTACGTTGGCCATGGAACCATATCGCCTCAATTTTCTGAGGCGCCACCCTCAGACCCAGTTCATAAATCTTTCCCACGACACGAGCCACCCCATGCTCGGCGAGCCGAAGCACCTCGAAGTGTGACCCTCTAGCCAGTATTAAAGTCAAAGACCAGAGGGCAGACTGGTGCGAAGGACCACATCATATGCGAGGTTCCACAACAAAGGGCCTAAAACAGAGCCCTGGGGAACACCGCAACACACCTGTCTCCGATTTTCCACCCCGCCCCGACCGATAAACTTCACTGTCCTATCGCGCAGATAGGCCCCAATGACGGCCCGCAGGTAGAGCGGCACCTCATGAAATTCAAGGGCCGCCCTTATCGCCTGCCAGGGGAGGGTGCCGAACGCGTTGACGATATCAAGGCTAACTGCCAACGCCACTCCCACTGATCGGACTGCCGACTCCGACATGGAGCGAACGCACCTGGCAGCGTCCACTGTAGAACGCCTGTCGGCTGTAGCTCGCCGTTTTCTCCGGCCTCGAAGATAAGGGCGGTGCAATCTCGCGACCGTCGTTCTCAGCTGCGAGATCTCCACGCTCTACCAGTACGCCGAGCCCTTCCTGGCTGGCCTGACTCGGGGCATTGAGGCATCACATACGGACGCCAGACGTTCCCGAACCAGGCCGCCTGTTCTTCTGGATCGGACGAAACCCTTTCCTCTTGACCATCTCTCGGTCAAGCCGCTTGAGGGACCATCACCACCATGAGGGAGGTTCTCTATCCTGACGTGCGACGGAGAGACACATTGAATGCGATGTGCCGGGGGTCAGAAAGATTGACCACTTCCTCCGCCACCCGCCATCCCGACACCATGTGCACTGCAGAGGGAGTCGCCCATGACAGGTCGACAATCGACTCCCCTGCCATCGCACACAGGTGCTAACTGAGCCCCGATTTAGAAGTCGGAGGTCCAGTCCAGCCGACCCACTCCAGGATAGTCTTTCCCATCGCATCGTCCCGAGTGTCACCGCACTCCCTTGAGTGGGCGTTGAAGTCACCCAGGACGAATACCAGACGGGAGGTGTAGCTGCGAATGCAGATTGCCAACCCGTGAAGGTATGCCTCATATTCGGCTAGGCTACGATTGGGAGAGAAGTGTCACCCCACCACCACTGTTAATCCCCACTCCACTGCCACGAAGCCAGCACTCTTTCTTAGGAGAGAGCAATGGAAGCCTTCCCCACCTGGCCAATAAATGGTCGCTGAATCATTGACCGCCCCGAACCGACGCGGATGGTCCGGGACGGTATAGGGCTCTGCAATGACTGCCAGGGCAACCGACTGCTCCGCAAGCGTCTGGATCAATAGATCCTGCGCTGCGGGGCAGTGGTTGAGGTTGCCCTGGAGAATTCTTGCGTGTGGTGGGTATGTTAAGCCTCCATTTCCTCTCCCGTCGAGTTACCACTCGACACTGACTGTCCCGATTGGGCAAATGCGGGGCGAGGTTGGACCTCTTCCCCCCTTTGCTTCTTCGGTGGGCAAAAGCTCTTGCTACCCAGCCGATGGTTGGCGGGCAGACCATGGTCGCTGCACACCGGACACCTCGGTGCATTCGCTGCCACTGCAGTCTCGGGCTTTATGGCCCAATTCTCCGCAGCGGAAGCAGCGCCAACTCCTATCAGGGTGACCTGAGCATTTTACCCTAACGTGTCCCACTTCAAGGCACTGGCAACATTGCAAGCGCCGAGGTGCCAACGCTTCGGTACGGAACGACGCCCAGCCCACCTGCACGCGTTGGGCGGCCGCAACTTGGCGTACTGCTATAAGTGGGCCCCGGACCCAAACTGTTCCCAATCGGGCTGCGGTTCTGCGTATCTCCCTGACCTTGATGTCGGACAGGGAGCAGCCACCCGCTGCGGCTATTGCCTCCGCAACCTCAATTGCAGTACGGCCGTCTTGCATGGACGCATGAATCGCGCGTCTGTGTCGCACATAACTGTGCGCAATCGTTCGCCTGATTTCCCCTGATTTCCTAAGGCCTGGAGTTCTCTGAACGTCGATCGCGTGCGAGCAAAGACCGACGCGTGTCCTCCGCTGGTGGCCTACGAATGCTATGATGTATGGAAAGGCTCAGCGCTGGGTTCTTAGAAACGTCATCGGCGGCGGACAGAGTGAACGGACAAAGTCGCCCGCCGCACGCGTCGGTCGGTGTCATATTTCTACCATAGCGACGGGCGCACGCCGCGACGTCCTGACTTCAAAATGAGTTTCAATAGTGAAAATAACGAATTTATAATTATTTTATAGGATAAAATACTATCTTGTTCGATGTATCAAACAACAATTATGTAGGTCGTTGATTTTGTGAATTTTGAATTACTCTGGGAAGAAACGCCGAAATAAATCACAGAGATTTTTAGTCCGTAAACAAAGTTTAAGAATACTGTATAGGGTCTGGGAAGGCCTTTTGAAGTAAGGACTATAAGTTTGAGTCGGCCTGTCCATACAGACGGCATACGGGCCCAAGCCATGGCAAAAAAAGTATGAAAAATGGGTGCCTCATGATTTAATTGATTTGCAGATAGAAATGCTTATTGAAATTGGTGTTGCCTTGTTGAATCGGTACAGAAATGAAGGATATTGGATCGAATTGTAAAATGTGATGAAAAACTGATTGTTTACAATAATCGAAAGCGAAAAATGCAATGGTTGTCCCCAGGTCAAACGCCGCAACATTGCCCTAAAGCAAAGCTTACCCATAAAAAGGTGATGGTAACTGTTTGGTGGGCCCTTCATGGTGTTATATAGTATGGCTTTCTCAGGTCTGGTCAGGCAATAACAGCAGATGTTTACTGTGCCGAACAATGATGGCGAAACTAGCAGTGAAACACCCCGGCTCGTGAATCCATCTTCACCATTATTTCTAGATGATAACGCAAGACCTCACACTGCACGAGAAACCGTTGTAACTCTATAGGAGCTGCAGTTAGAAACCATACCCCATACTTGCCCGACCTTGCTTTAATGGACTACCATTTTTTTCGTGAATTGGACAATCTACGTGATAAACAAAAAATCATCCCAGGAATCAGTACAAAATGCTTTCACACAGTTTGTCGAATCTAGATCCCCTTAGTTCTATCGTAATGATCCTTTTAGATGGCAGCAATGGTTAGATAATGAGGGTAAATATTTTGATTAAATAAAAATGTTACATCTTAGAAAAAAACGAGTTTTAATTTTTCAGTACAAATCGGAAATTTTATACTTTAACCCCTATACTAGCTATTGCCTGAGGCGGTTGCTTCTTATTTTGTGTGTCTAACTTTAAAAATTACAAACTTTCAAACAATCGTTTATTCCTTATTTTACCCCCTTAGGGGTGAAATTTCCAAAATCCTTGTATTTGTCCTTGTATATCAATGAATCAGTCAATCAGGGCAAGTCATGTAATATGTATAGATGAATAAGTATGTTTATCAGCAACCTGATTACCATAGCACATGCTTTGTGTAATTTAGGGTCAGCCTACGCATCGGGATATACTAATACCATAAGAAAAATATTCTATAATTAATACTAACTACATCCAAATGTATAATGATTCAACTATAATGAAATTTATTTACCTAGAACTGAAATGAATATAAAAATTATGAAAAACCATATGAGATAAGAAAAATATTCTCTAATTAATATTACATGTACATAAAGACTTAAATATTATAATGTAATCACTTCAACCTAGAACTGAAATAAATATAAAAATACTATAAAACTAAAATTTTAAAACTGACTCACCTATCGTAGAATGCGGATCGTAACGTAATAATGCTGGATGCAATCACCCAGTCCTTTTATATAGACTTTTGACTTGTCTTTGACAATGTAAGCACTTATGTACCTATAAGATACCGAAGTATTGTGATAATAAATGATGTTATTCTGTATTGTTTACACTAGAGCGTAATCACTAATACAATATTAAGAAAAATTAAAACTTCCACAGCTTTTGTTACTTACGACATTTATCAATGCAATGTTTACATATCGCTTCGAGCTCACCACACGAACAGTCTTAATCACATGTATACTATGAGTATCTTATCCGTTGCTTTAAGAGATACTACTTAACGTGGTCCATGTCATTATTTACTCTTAGAAATAAGTAACCTCTGTGGAATTTAATATAAACTATTAAACTCTTTAAAGCTTTTACTTGTCGGGATAAACATAACTCTTTACAAATTTGGTACTTCGAGCCAGTCCGAGAAGAAGGAGAAGAAAGAGAAGATTAATTTCTAATTTAATGTTATTAAATAAGAGCCTCGCTAATAAATAAAAATAACAACAGGTTGGATAAATTGTCTACATCCCCATTTCTGAAGTTAACACAACATATTTAGTAAATAACAAATTCTCTGTTAAAATTAATTTTGATTTTTATGATGTTGAAGATTTCTAACAAAAGATGGTAAGAGTAGACTATAAAGTAAGAAACTAGAAAAAAGGGATATTATTTGAAAACTTTAATTGATAAAGTATACTTATGGAATATAAACGCAATTTCAGTTCAAAATATACAGGTCAATGAAATAAAACAATACATTCAAATTTAATTACATAGTATCATTTTCTTGCCCCGATCTTTCTCTCTAACTGACTGGAGACTAAAGTCTAATGGCCGTTTCCCAGTTCTCCATTACAAACTTGATATGTAACTAAGTCAACTGAGATCGGTATCCTCTGTCCGGCGTCTTTCCACGCTTGTGTTTCTGTCTCATTTCAAAACATAATTTTAAGCTGCATGAAGAGCAAGTGGGACGTTGTCTGGAATTTTTACAACGTCTTTTTATTTCCTTGTTCCTCTAAATATAAATAATTAAAAATCCACCAACATCTTTTATTTATTTGTTCATCTATTAGGATCTCCTACGAAGGATATACACAAGTAAAAAAACAACTATTGACTGAAGTGACTTATGTGAACCATTGACTTAAGTGAAGGAGTACACCGACTTTATCCCCATGAAGTCGGTGTACTCCTTTACTTACAGGAAACCACAGCATGCTTGCTTTTTTTCACTACATCAACCAAGCGAAAGAAGTTACAAGCAACATAGAAATGACCCAGGTTTGTATTGGAGCCAGGGATGTAAAATAGACTAAAGGTATTATGCCTGAGGATCCGAGTTGGAATTTGAATGGGTAATGAACTCAAAAGCCCACTATAATCGATTGCTCCCCTTAGTACCTTGTGAAGGATAACAAAGTCCAGCTCCTTCCTACGACTGGCTAAAGTATCTATATTGTAGTGTCTCAACCATTTAGTGTAGCTCGTAAGTTGCTTACGTAGCACAGGTAATAGAGGAGCCGCTTTGAACACTCTCCATTCGTTTGGTGTATACCTCGTAGTGCGGATTCCATACCCCTAAATTATATGCTAAGCTAAGGCAGACCAGTGTGTTGAAGAGCTTTATTTTTGTAGATTTTTTTTTAAAGTCTTCACTGTTTCGCAAAACAAAACTCAGTGCTTTAAAGGACAACATTTATAATATGGATATTAAACTCCATCGCTTGGTCGAGTTGAACTCTAAGGTCACGTACACTTCCCTGTATCTTCTGTCTGTCAGTTCTAGGTGTCAATGTCCTGCCAACCATTTTGCGCAAATCATCACATTTAGGTTATTCAGACAATAATTCATTTTTTGACAATAATTTTAGTTAGAAATTTTGTTATATTATTATATTTTACATTAGTCATCAGTTTAAAGTATAACTAGTTACTAAACAATGCCAATATCATATTATTAATGAAGTACGTGGCCAAACAAATTCACGAGCAATTTGGCGATCAGCAATACTTTGCTATGTCGATTTAGAGAGGTAATATACGTAACATAATTGTGTAATAATATAATTGCAGCCATTAATAACAATTTTTGAGATCCATATGGAATGTTCGAAAACTGATTTAAAAATGTTTGAAAATTCTTTAAATTTCTGGCATTTAACTATAAGCTGGAAGAAAGTTCTAACGCTAACAGTAAATATCAAAACTTCTCTCTGTAGCTATGAATTGATCCAACTGATTAATTTATATTCAGAATTAAAGAGGTGGAAACCTCCTAGTTTTTTTTGTTTTTCATAACATCATAGTTTATAAATTAAATGAATGAATACTATTAAATGATAAATTTGTTGTCGTGTAAAAAAATTCTAAAAAATATTTGTACTTCACACATTATTCCATTCCTATTGAAATCGTAATAGATCTTTTGTGAACTATAAATAAATAATTATAAATATTTGCCGCCAGTACATAGGCTATTAAAATTTTGGTGCTCTACTGACCTCTGCAATTCGATAGCGTAGTTAACGATAATTTTCAGGTATTTATTAATAAGGGGTGCCACGTCAAGAATTTTAATTTTGCTGTTACATACTTTTTATTGAAATTTTGTCTCTCGGTAGTGGTTTACTGTACTAGTAAATATTTCATGTTTTATAGAAAATAGTAATAATCACTTCAAAGGAAATCAGTCATTGGCTTAGTTTGATTGATTTCCTTAGTTTCCATTGATATTTGACACCTAGTCTGGTACTAGGTGTCGAAATCATATTTATATTTAAACCCTAGAGACTGAAAACACAAAACAATATCTACTATTGCATTTATGTGATAAATACCCTCAGCCATATAATCATTACAAACATCCGATACATAATTCAACAATATAAATATAAACAACTTTTACCTAAGGTTAATAAATTATTGAATAGCTTTTCAGAAAATAATATATGAAAATTAGTACCAGAATTATAGATCTACATAAATGAGATAATAATAGTCTCAAGAAAACTGGCGAAAGTACCTTAACCAATGGTACACCTCCTTAAATTCAAAATATTCACAGAGTACAAACATAATATATATAAAATAATAATAATCTATACTAATATTATAAAGCTGAAGAGTTTGTTAGTTTGTTTGAACGCGCTAATCTCAGGAACTACTGGTTCGAATTTGAAAAATTCTTTCAGTGTTAGATAGCCCATTTATCGAGGAAGGCTATAGGCTATATATCATCACGCTAAGACCAATAGGAGCGGAGCACCAATGAAGAATGTTTAAAAAACGGAGAAAATTTATTACTATTGAGAGACGCAGACGAAGTTGCGCGGGTCAGCTAGTATAATATATTTTACTACATCCACACAACGCCATCTAGTCCCAAACTAAGCAGAGCTTGTACTATGGCTACTAGACAATTGATGTAAATACATTTTTTTTTTTGTAAATACATACATTTTATACATAGAAACACCCACACCAAATCAAACATTAAATGTTCATGCACACAAATGTTTGACTTGAACGGGAATCGCGACCGCGACCTTTGGAATAGCAGTCCGTTACACAAACAACTATGATATATGTTGATTTTTTTTAGTTTAGTATGCTTATTGATTAAATAATAATTATAATCAGTGATTACAATTGTGACCTCGGTGCACCTACCCTACAAGATTTCTACAACACCTAAAGGTTGGCTGGTGTAAGTATTAGTGTCAGAAGAAGTTTCTTACGGCCTAAACTTTAAGTTAAACACTACTTCAAGCATTTAGACTCAAAAAATGTAATTAACATTTACGATTGTACCTGTTCTAACAAATTCTTTGCGCGGAGCAAATAAAATTTGTCTCAAAATTATTTCCTTTCTAAATTGACATAGCAAAATATTGCTTATCTCGGTATTTACTTGCTTACTTACTGCAGTTTTATGATAGCTGCAAGTTTTGGATTTTAGTTTTTCTTTCTTTACAAGCTTTTTTGTTTTAAATCAAGTTACTGATATAATCTTTGTTTTTGTTTTAAGTGACAGATTTTTAGGTGTTTTGAACATTTTTGAACAACAAACAAAAGAATGTCTTTTTTAGATGGAAAAAAAACATTGAACTCGCGACACTGTTACCGTTACCGACACCTCAGTATATACGTATTTATATATATATATATTGGCCCCGTTTACACGAGAGTTGAGTTTTGGGTTAAAATGCATTGATAATATATATACTATAAACATAACTATATCATCATCAACAGCCTTTAACAGTCCACTGCTGGACATAAGCCTCTCCTTAGAAAGGAGGTTTTGGCCTTCTACTATACCACGCTGGCCAGACGGGTTGGTATAGGGTTTGTGACAAGTTTTCCTTCTCTCTGCAGTGCTGTTGTTCTGCGTAGTTTTTTCCCTTAGTCGGCTCTTACGACACCCACGGGATGAATAGGGGTGGTGACACTCTGTATTCTTAATCCGTCACCACACGAACTATATATACACACTAAATATATATATATATATATAAATATATATATATATATATATATATATATATATATATATATATATACTATAAACATATATTGTTTATATACGTATAACACAGACATACATATAACGTATAACATAAACTCGTATATTCATGTTGGAACTTTTCCAATCGAAAAAAGCAAAAAAAAACCTATTTTATATACAAAAAAATATATATTTTCAAGTATTCACTTTTATCAGCACTCCCGGAGTGCCACTGTTTTTTTTCTTTTGCTGGTAACTTTACTAATAGTAACTGACTGTCCAAAATCATTTAATAATAATTAATGTCGAAAATTTAAAATGTCAGAATAGACTGTTTTTACATTAAGATTTATTAATGAAGACCATGCATGTTCTGTTTTAGGTCAATAAAGCTTGGATATGTACATGATGATATGTACGTAATTTTAAGATATTGGTAAAAAAAATATAACATTTTCAATTATACCTTAATATACTAACCTAATTTTTATCAGAGTTAATGTTAATCATGAACACCTATGAGTTATAATAAAAAAAACACACACACGCAATATTAATACACAAGGTTGTATTTATTTAATATTGGGCACAAGCAGCCCTATAAGCATCAAAAAACAATTCATAAGGATCAAACTTCTTCTTGAATAATTCGTATTCCTCGGGTAGATAGTGCTCCAGCGATTCAAGGAACTTATGTGCTAGTCGCTTTTGTGCTTGACTACATTTAGCGCAAGCTGTTAATACTGCGTCCTGAATGAATGCTGAAAAAACATAACCATACATGCTTACAACATAAATATTGGAAAGAGCTGTAGTTTTTTAAGTGCACACAAACATTTTAAATCATACAGCTAGAATAATTTAAAATGATTAATCCAATGTACTCTTTCGCGTGAGTGGTCACATTTAATATATATCTATACACTTGGTTGGAAGGGTAAACAAAGGTACTAATAATGTGTGACCCACATTGATAGCACTCTTAAATATTAAAAAAAAAACCGTGTTGTGTCTTAACCCGAAAAGAACGAAGTTCCTTATATTATGCTATTTGACAAATATTTCATTTATAAATTTTGGTCAAAAATTAAAAAAAAAAATGTGTATCAAGTTTTCATATATTAACAAAACCAGTGGATTTGCTAATGAACTGTAGGTAGTTTTTTAAAGAGAAACAGCAGTTTTTTAACAATAAATTGAATAACTCAATAACTATTGATTGTAGGCTAACAAGAATGGTCTTATTTTATTATTCATCAAATACTCTAAAAATCATGCGCAATACAAGTAGACGGATTACTTTCTATCTTAGGCCCGCATTTTAAAATACGTCTCAAATATCGGTTAAACTCTAATTGCCTGAAACTAGTTTTAAGTGCAGATCAAAACTTAAGTATTGCTCTTATTATAGAACGCGTTTTAAGTTTTACTCAGTTGAAACTACTTTCAAGTATTGATTTGAACTTACAGTCTGTCTTCAATTACGATTCCGCATGATCGACATTATTATTCCGTATTACGCAGCTAATGATTTAAAAAAAAGCTTTTATAAACATAATTTCTGTGAATTTGTATATAGTTATACTATTTGCTAGTGTACCAATGTAAACATATTAACAAGCTTGTTGTTCGTCTAAAATTAAATATAATAAATATTAAAATAAATAATTAAATAATATCGTACCACATTCACACAACGCCATCTAGTTCCAAACTAAGCAGAGCTTGTACTATCCCATAGTACAAGCTCTGCTTAGTTTGGAACTAGATGACAACGAGACAACTGATATAAATACATGTTTACTTTATTTCTGTAAATACATACTTATTTTACATAGAAACACCCAGACCAAATCAAACATTAAATGTTCATGCACACAAATGTTTGACTTCTGGAATAGCAGTCGGTTACACAAACCACTACGCCATTCGGTCGTCAAAATCATAATAAAGATGAATAGTTATCAGCTTTAACGGAACGTACAAGTTATTTAGTAATACTTGTGATGTTGAAATGTCAAACAATATTTTTATTTTGATATTTCTAAAATTTATATCACTAAAATAATATTATACTTTTAACATAAACCAAAAGGTTGTGGTAATTTAATTTAAACAAGTAGTGTGTGTAAAATGCGATAAATATCAATTAAGGTAAATTAAAGTGAATTGATTATGTGTGACAAGTTCCTAATTCTTTCGTAAATCAAGTAAATCTTTCGTAGTTATTCACAAACAAATCATCGTAAAACACATTCATTTCCCCTAAAATTCCCTAGAAATCACCGCTTGAGACTAGTTTCAGCTTATCTCACGTAAATAAAGATCACATCTTTTGAAATCTATACCTGACAAAAGATTTCGACATAAACATCGTTCTAAAATAAGTTTTCACTCACTTGAGTATGGATCGGTGAATCTCGTTTTAAGTGACGTTAAATAATGAAATCTCTACCTAAAATTAATTTTAAGACTAGATTTACGACTGAGACACCTTTTAAAATACGGGCCTTAGTCTGCATTCACTGCCTACAGAGCGAGAGAGAGAGCGACTAACGTTTTATCTTATGATAAATATACGTGAAATATCTTAACTGGAAACTTACGCTGAAAAAAGGCAGCGATTTGGTCGCAAGGCCCAACTTCGATGAAGCAATGGTTGTATTCCCTCAAAAGGTAAGGATTTTTGACAAATTCATTATAATCAAAGTCATCATGAGCGGTGTCGTAGCCACTGACAGCGGCCACAGCCAGCAGAAAGGACAGAACGTACATAGACTTCATTTTGTTTTGCGATGAACCTAAAATTGTTGAAATAGTTATAATGAATATGAAATTCGAAGGAAATAATGGGATTTTTATTTAAAGCAATTAATATATAAAAAAAAAGATTCTTATAAATTAAACGACTCATGGTGAATAACCTTACGCTACTCTGTTATTGTTGCTAAACAAATCTTAGAAGTCAATTTTAACAGAATTCTGTCAATTAGTAAAACTTTTTCTGGGTATGTAGTATGGAGTCATTAAGTTAATAGCTAGCTGTTTGCATGTTGCCACTGCAAATTACCGCAATATTACTAATACAGCAAATACTCAAATAAAAGTCCAACAGATTGAGATTATTGTCGATATCGGTGAAACTTTGTAAAAGTCTAGTTATCTTATCTCTATCGTCTCTCAAACAACGACTTACCAAATATCCAGACAATCACGAAGGAAATGATGCTTTATGCCATCGTACAATGCTTATATATATATATGTTTATATTTACTACATTACTACAAATTGTAGAAGATAACTTTCTCATTAAGCTTAAATACAATAATGATGTATTTTATTAGACGGTACCAATACGTATGCAATAATAAATAAAAATTAAATTGCCTTGTGTTTTGACCAAAGGCTATAATGATCATTGAATGTATTCAATTACATAACCAATTAAAAATCATAAACAAGTTAATATAAAATACATTATTTAACTTATCTTAATACATTTCAAATGATGTTGATGGATTGTGAAAAAACAATAATATAATATTTGTCTTTTGTTTCAAAGAAATATCGCTTTAGTTATGAAAGTATAGTACAAATCCTTTACCATCTTTATTAGGTACTAATGCTAAGATTCAGTCAAGTCATCAATTTTTTGGTTATGTGTGATGAAAACAGTTACAGTGCTGATATAGCCGTTTGTATCTTCAACTTAAAAAAATAATGTATTGTATGTAGGCAATCTATAGTATAGAATATAATAAAGCATATTTTTTAAAGATGTATGAAGTGTTGCGGAATCATTCCTGATAGGCGTTAATTAAATGGTTACATACTCAATAAGTCTTGTGGAGTTCATGACAGGTGGCTTTACTATTTGACTGGCCTGTTATTATCTAGTGGTCAGGTCAGCAATCCTTGCTCCTCCTTTTTTTATATCTAGTATATGTACTTAGAATGTTTCTTATAGCTATGTTCTTTTTATGGTATAGATGGCAATGAATGAATATGAATAGATGGATGAATAGACAGGTCACCTTTTGTTAAGTGATCACCATCACCCGTTACAATTATCATCAATAGTCCTTCATAGTCCACTGCTGGACATAGGCCTCTCCTTACAAAGGATTCCTACACATGACAGGATATTTTGTGGAATTATTATTATAATGCTGTAACTGCGTTTATGCTTGTGTTTGTTGTATTGTTTAGTGTGTGTTTGTCATAAATATGATAGAGGTGACACCTGTTTTTTTTGCTGTGATACCACCCATCGGTTAGATGGTTATGTCAGACTCGAAACTATAAAAAACCGCACGCCGTCTCGGGTATCAGTTGCCGAGGAACCAGGTGTACCCTAGAAAGGAAATCACCCGACGTACCTCATCGTGTAGATGACCCCCTTCTGTGTTGGAACCCCTATGTCCCCTTTGTGCTCCGGAAAAAGCGCGCGTGCTCTTAGCGTGTCTCGTTACCACCCTGGCCTGATTATGCTAGGGTGACAGATGGCCTCACTTACCGCCCCCAGGCCTGCGCATATGGATTACGGAGATCGTTCTGCAATCTCCGACGCCTGAGTCGTCTACGGAACCTGGTCCGTTCCCGGGCCTGGCGGGCCGGAAGAGTTCTAAACCACTCCCGGTCCGGCTCCACCATATCCTTCGCAAGCATAACTTGCTCGCAGAAGGAAGGGGTGACTCCTATAGTTTCAAGTTTTCCTTCTATTATTACAGTGCTGTTGTCCTGCGTAATTTGCTTCCTTAGTTGGCTCTTACTACACCCACGGGAGGAATAGAGGTGATGACCCTTTGTATTCTTAATCTGTCACTACACGGACAATCTATCCATCACCTATGGACACTTGCAACTAAGAGTCACATGTACGTTGCCAACGCAACGAAAGAAATACTTAATACCAGTTTTCTATGAAGCCGTGGTAACACTCCGGTTGACCCAACCCATTCGGCTGCATGGCTCTCCCAAAACTATTCATCAGCAGTCTGGTTACCGTAGTAAAACCTCTACCTATTTTGGGATCAATGTGAGATGTTAAGTTATTATTATTATTTCACGATCAGGACACTTGTCGACATCGAAACACATGCATTGGTTATAACATTAAAAGTTTCGTATATTGGGTACTTGAAAATTCTCAAATGACCCGTAGCTATTTCATTACGAATCGAGTGGAAAAAATACTGATATTTTTTTACAGGATAAATAACAAGAAATAATTACCGTATAAGTATGCAAACAATTTATTTTTATTTTTATACAAATATAAAAAGTTGACGAACATTACAGTTTTCCATTTTTTCAATAAAAAATAACCAAATAGTAAATTGAGTATTCCAAACATTTTAGTTATAATTTACAGAATTTCAAAAATGTCTCAGAATACTAGGTACATAATACTGTAAAACTATTTTGTTAATTAAAATTCAACCACGTTTGCTTCCAGCTTATAGAAATATATTCCTTAAGGATCATCCTTGTTTTTAATGGCATTGAATTTCTCAGGTAGTTTGTCTTTTAATGCAACCAAAAATACATTGAAGTGTCCCTTCTGAGCGTCGGTGCATGTATTACAAACTTTTGGTATAGCTTCCCCCGAGATCGTCTAAAAATACCATAAATTTATGAATCTACATAGATTCATGAATTTAGTTAATTTATACATGTATACATACAATGTATGCATGTACTAATAGGCAAATCAGAAAATATATGTAATTATTTTATCATGGTGTTTTAAAAAAAATACATATATCGAGATCATAGAATCGATCACTTTAAACTCTATGGTCGATCATTTTAATTTTCTAACACGTTTTTATTAGCTTGGTATGTACGTATGTATGTATGTAACGGAATCTTCGAACGTGATTTTTACCCACTTCAACTTCGTCATTTTCATAGTTATAAACGGGATATCTATAAATGTAAAAAATGTTAGGTTGGTTTGTGTACGCTTCAAAAACTCAAAAAGTTCTGCACCTATTGAACTCAAAGATTATTATTTGTATCTATTTTTTACGTCAGTTTTGTCCCTAACTTCTCATTAATGCAACCATAATGTGCTACAGAAAAGCTTGGCAGGATACAGCTAATAAAAAATATTAATATCTATATTCTTTATATTAAGTCCATTCAAAACTTTAACAATCATTACAACAAGGTGTGATTGACAGGGTATAAACTGAAATGAAACAAATTTCACTAAATTATATTTTTTAATATAAGAATAGAAACATAACACTTAATTAACTTCATATATTTTTTACTATTTCAGTCCTTAAAAGGCGGCAACCGCAGCTTCTAAATTTGATAAATATATTCTTTTAGGATCGTATTTGGCTTTAAAGTCCTTGAATAATTTGGGTGCTTGATTGAATGCATCGATGAATGCTTTTACTATATGTTTTTCTTTAGGTGTGCATCTATCGCAACTACTTTCAACCACAACAGGTAGATCACCTGAAAAAAAAAACACATGACTAATGTAATTGTACACGATGAGCGAGGGTTCTCAATTTGGCTGTATTTTTCTCCTTTCGTGTTTGTTACCTCAAACCTCAGTCATTTATGAACTGATCTGGCAAAAATATTTCGGAGAGTATACTTCGTTTTTTTGCCTTTTTTTTCTTTTTCATTCTCTGCAACTTTAAAATAAATACCAGCTCTAAAGATACATAATTAAATGAAAATATGGAATGAATGAAGAATATCTTATATATAAAATTCTCGTGTCACAATGTTCGTTCCCGTACTCCTCCGAAACGGCTTGACCGATTCTCATGAAATTTTGTGTGCACATCGGGTAGGTCTGAGAATCGGCCAACATCTATTTTTCATACCCCTAAATGGTAAGGGTCACCCATCCCTAATTTTTTTTTGTTTTGCAATACAACGTTTGCCGGGTCAGCTAGTGGTTTATATAAAAGTAATTACTTATTATTAACTTTGTGCTACCATGCACTTCCGCAGTAGCGCTAGAATCACTACCACAAAAGGAATACAGGAGCGAGTATGTAAAATGAAATGAAATATTTTTTGTAAATGTTGACAAGAATTGAATATGATTAATGTCAACAGCTTGATAATTGCTTGATATTTAGTAGAAAATCATAAAATTATGAGTTAATATTAGACTTACTTTTTAACGAAGCAGCGACATCGTCACATGGAACCTTGTCCAAAAAACAATTAACGATGTTTTCGAAGTGATTAGAATCAGATAGTAAGATGTCGATGTCCAAATCTTCATGGTCTAAGGCTTTCACAGATACCACTGCGAAAAATAGCATGTATAGATTCTTCATCTTGTTAAGATAATCTACTCTCCGACTGAAAAGTACGTAAATTTTAATGTTCTTTTTTATTGTTAAGATCACAAACTCGTCCTTATGTTTTAGTTATTTATTTATAACTATTTTCGTTCACTTCGCCTACACGTGTCGCTTAATTTGTTACTAATGTAGATAAAATAAAAGCTTACATTTAAAGATCACTGTACCTCTAATATTAAATGTGGTTCTTTAGCTGTCTCTGTTTTATAACTAGGTAAATTACTTATTGAAATGCCAACACTTTTGCAAGGCTGCACCGATCACACACGAGTATGTATATTATTAATATTCTACATTTAGTGAAACTAATCAATGTGAATTAATAATTCAGAATACAGGTTTTGTTGAAGTAGATCAAATGACAATCAAGTTATAGGTTGTCTAACACAGTCATATTATTACACAGACATAAAACCTGTTGAATTGACATTTCAAACTACCTAACATTTATTATATTATTTGCACCGATAAAAGCAACGTTCGAAGTGCAACTATAAAGTGAATTAAAGTTTTACTATATTTAGTAGCAATCGTTGTCGTGCTGCTTGGTTTAGACAGAAGAATATTTTCTAAGAAAGTGGTGTGTTTATTCAAGAAGATTCAAAACTAAAATGCGATGGCTGCAATATTATACATTTATTACATCAAAAGAACAAATTTTTAAGGCGCTATTTTTTGACTCTTATGACATCAACCCTTTGGATTAATGTCCAAACTTTAAGTCTTCATTCTCAATTAAACAATTCAAAAAATATATAAAAAAATACAAACATACATAAAAGAGGTTGATTTTCTACAGCGAAAAATTCCTGAAAAATCCGGTAAATTTAATTTATATAAAATTTGTAATTTTAATAAAAAAAATCAACTATCAGGAATTGATTGCAATAAAAATTATAACAAAATATTGTCAGCTAAGGTTCCAAAAAAATGAAAGAAATGGTAAAAACCACTTTTTCGCATCTGGAGCGAAAACTAAAGCTTCTACGAAAATAAGTTGAATGTAACAAATGTGCGCAATAAAAAATAAAGAGAATGAACCCCTGGAGAGCAAACTGGGACTTATTTTTAAAATTTCTCACATATGTTTTGCTACCTTAGCTGACAATGTTTTGGTATAACTTTTATTGCAATCAATTTCTGACAGTTAATTCTTTAATAAAAGAATAATGCAACGCCGATAGGAATTTTCTGGACCAAAAGCTAATTCTACCAGTCTAGCAGTAATATAAATTAAAATAAAAATCTTAGAACATTAGCATAGCATATTTTTATTATAATAAAAATAAATACAGCTTACATAAAAGGTAATTATCATGCTTTCCTATTACTAATGTGATGTTGAAATAAATTAATTACATCATTTAACATACGCACAAAGTAATTTTGTGGTCATGCAAAGTCAAGTTGGTATATACAGAGTACAACTGTTTCCTATATTTAAAAAATACAAGAGACACTTGTTCTTCTGTGCGTGTTGCTTCTATGTGATCTCACCGACATATTTTCCGTTCATAAGGTTCCGTTGTTCTACGGGTGACTTATGTAAATAATGCTGTTATAATTCGAATCTGTATTATTCGTAATAGCTTTCTTCCAAACTTTCTTTGTTCTATTTTTTACGTAAACATTTTCTCTTTATATTAACCGACTAATATTGAATAATGTGATTCAGTTATGATTCACTATTGTCATTACTTTGTCACCATGTTATGTATAGACTAAAAATGTTCTTTTTTTTAATGTTTTTAATTAAATTTTCCTGGTGTTTTATTTTAGTCAGACCCATTGATGAACCTCGTGAAGTCTTCTTTGTATTCACCGTTTGGATCCTCTTTCTTAACCAACTCTTGCCAAAGTTGAGGAGTCTCCTTCTGGAAAGTCTTAACTACGGTACGAATGAGCTCGCGCTGTTTAGGTGTACATTTCTTACAGCTGGTTCTCAATGCATCAGGGATAGTTTCTGTGGATAAATATAAAAAAATAAAAATAATATAAAAGTAAAATGTATTTGATTTTGATTGATTTGATTGATTTATTTGGATCCCAGTATTTAGTGTGATCGTCGGGTGGATTTATATTTACACGATGTTTATTCTCAGTAGTATAATAATCATCCCACCTATATATGAAAAGTAGCTGTACCCTGAAAAGCTTCTCTATGGCTCGTTGTGGCTGCATTGATGTGAAATCAGGAACAAAACAACACACAAAAGAAGGTAAAAAGATCTATGAATCGGTTCTGATATCGTATCAAAATTTGAGTTAAATCAGTACAGAACTTTTTAAGCCTTTGAAGCTTACACAAACTGATTAAACATTTTTATATGTAAGTATATAAATAACAGTTATTTTCAAATTATTAGAACTCATCAAATCCTCACGGCACCTTGATATATTCACAAAATAAATCATGGCTTATCGTTAACTTCAGTCAATATCAACTCTTTTTAATTAATTTCTTCTTACACCTATATAATTGTGGCTACCTTTCATTTCAACATTAAGTTGTATACATCGCCGTACAATGGTAATTAGAATAAATAGTTATTAGTGTCATCTCGCAATATTAATTTCAGGTAAATAAAACATTATAAATCTAAATTGAAATATCTAAAAAATACTTACTTTTAAAATCACTTCCCTCAGGAGTGCAAGGCCCTTTACCGAGGAAGCAATTACCGTAAGCTTTTAGCAACCGGATATTTCCCACCAAAGACTGCACGTCGAAATCATCATATCGACTATCATAGGTTTCTGGTCTACAGAACACGGCAGCTATGAGCACGCACAAAACGAAGACCGACTTCATTCTTATCTGGAATACAACGTTAAGGATCATTTGTCAGACTTATATAGGCATTCAGTACCTCAATAAAGACACTCATGTAAAGCATTCAAGGAATGTAAAGTATTGATAAAAATTCTCAGAAGAAAGAACTATCTTTTAAAAATATACAAAGAACAATAAAAAGAGTATTGTATTAATATAAGATACTAGATGTCAACAATAAGCTAACTTATATGTTCTTGTTATAAGTGTACTTAATCCCCATTACCCCTTAATATTACATAAACCACTAGCTGACCCGGCAAACGTTGCTTTGCCTAAAAAAAAAAATTTAGGGATGGGTCACCCTTACCATTTAGGGGTATGAAAAATAGATGTTGGCCGATTCTCAGACCTACCCGATGTGCACACAAAATTTCATGGGAATCGGTGAAGCCGTTTCGGAGGAGTACGGGAACGAACATTGTGACACGAAAATGTTATATATAAGATAATATTCTATTCTATTGCTACGAGTGGCATATATTTAGATTAAAAATTTTGATAGTCTTGTTTACTAATAAAAACCCCTGGTATATTCATCTAGGAATATCGCCCACTTTAAAACGTATATTCGCACTTGTTAAGACACTGAATTAAACAAAATTGTTGGAAGTAACGAAGTCTTACTTGACGAAAACTTTACAACTTCTGAATAAATTCATAATTCATAATATGATAATTCAGAAAACTTTAACTTTATAAAACTAGCCAACTTGACAGACATTGTCCTTTCATAAAAATCTCATGGAAAAAGTGATACAGTTTTTTTTTTGTTTTCGTCACCTAGAATAGTTCATCTCTTTCCCCAAAAAAACAAACTTGTTTGAACAGTTCTCAACTTATGCGCTTACAAACAAACAACATTTAATTTTTATCTAAAGGTACTGGTATTTTTTTGCAATTTATGGTCCTCTATGATGTAAGAGGGACAAAGAGTGGTTAGAGTTGGAGTGGATTAGGGCGTTTAATACGCTTCTGGCTACGAGTACTTCTGAATTTAGCCGTGAGTAAGTATACTTAGAACGAAAATGTAGTGAGTCCTAAAATTTTAGACGACCTCCGTGCTCCATAAGCGAAGGCCTGGGGGTGACAGGTGAGGCCATCTGTCACCCTAGCAGAAGCAGGCCGGGGTGGCGGCGAGACGCGCTGCGGAGCGCGCGTGCCCTTTCATGAGCACCAAGGGAACATGGGGGTTCCCACACAGGGGGGGGGGGTCATCTACCCGCCGTAGATGGCCCGAGGTACGTCGGGGTAGCAGGGATTTAATTTCTAGAGTACACCTAGTTCCCCGGCTACTGGTACCCGAGACGGCGTGTGGTTTTTAGTCGGTTCGAGTCCGAAATAGCCACCGGTAGGTGGTATCCGAGGGCATTTCCGAACAGAAAAAGAAAAAAAGATTCAGCCTGAGTGCAACTTGATCATCATATATCTATATAATTCTTAAAATACTAAAGTTAACATTGTTACCGCCAAGGAACCGATTGAGAAAAAAATACTTTTTAGCTCAGTGCACATATTTATTGAGAAACAATAAAAAAAAGCGTGTTTCTCGAATTAGGAAATTATACGAATTTAGCGGTAGATTACAAGTCGGCAAAAAAGATGTAGTTTAACTTACATTTCTAGTGGTTTACTGGCCAGTCTCAACACAACTGTGATATGCAGCATTTGAGTTTTGTTTATATATTGAAATTTTAGACAAGGAAAATTAAATGTAAACAAATTATTCAAGCATTGGAGACATAAAATGCTGACGCGATCTTTACATGACAAACCAACGCCGCCGTGACAATGAAACGTGTAAATTTCCACTTTAGAATATTGTAGCTGGACATAATTTGAACAAACGTGATAATTGGTTACTCTTGCACAAAAAGCACATTCTTCCTGTTTAATAACATAGTAGATTGAATAGAACATAAGTCAATACTAATAATTAAACGTCCTCAGTGTTATGTTTTTTCTTATTGAGCATTACATGGATGTAGTCGGTGATTTTAGCGCTTAGGTACTCGTAATGATATTTCATAATGAATGCATGGATGGATCTTCGACTCTATGTCAACTGTGGAGGAACGATTGTCATGTCCCTCCAACACAAATGGAGGATCCTCCGACCAGGCGAGGTAATCATGAATGGCGGGCCGCGGCCTAACGCTTGATGTTTGGAAGTTGTATATATTCTACTCGTAATCGGCGAGAGAATTCTTCATATCGCGATACTGGATTAGCAATACTCATTTAGGAGTTTCTCCGTAGTTCGGTGTGTCTTCGTTAGATGGCGCTGTAGTATGCTTCTGTTTCTTTATATGTGGGAGTCGCCGCATAACTGTGCAAAGTTCTAAATAGAATTTTTCTAATTCGATTTAGAAATATAACCTGTATCCCGGGGACCTTAACAAACATACACGAAACGGACACAAAGAACACCCAGACTCAGAACAATAATTTGTGAATCACACAAAGTGGTGTCCCGTATTTGGATTGAACCTTTAACACTCAGCGCAATAGGTAGCGGCGAGATGACCAATTAAAGCATTACGCCATCCATGCATTAATAAAATTAATTTGCCACTTTCTACATTTGGTCGGTCGGTTACATCGGTGGTCTTACATTTAACGTATGCGACTGCTGTTCTGAGGTCTCGGGTTCGATTCGAAATGTTTGTTTGGTCTGTAAATATTTGTTTTGGCGATTGGGTGTTTTCTATGTATAATATCATAACAAAAAAAAAGTATATAAGTATAATATCAGTCAATCTAGCTTTCTTAGTACAAGCTCTGTTTAGTTTGAAACTAGATGGCGTTGTGTGTTAGATTGCCGAAATACTATTATTATCTTAATATGCTCTAAACAACCACACAAATCCAGAAAGTGAAGTACTGCTTCAAACCAACAACTGCGATAGTCCTGTTAGTAGTGTAGCCTCCCTCTTACAGCATGACTTAACTAACCTAAGTAATAGGTGTTAGGAACTGTGCTATTTCTGAAAAAAAAAAAATTTGTAACATTTGAAATTTTAAGTCTCACCAGAGTGTAATTAGTCATTAGTACCACGTTGACGTGATTAACAGCATTTTGTCTCATACTATACTAAGAACGATTGCATTACCATACAATATATAAGCCATAAGAGAAAAAATATAACTGATATAGAAAAAACATAGAGTACCTTCCATCTACGTAAAATTAAGTACTCAAAAATACAAGATAGGGTACAAAATTCTAGTCAAATACTATGAGATAAAAAAGAAAACAATACTAATAAACTATATATAACGATACTAAGTTACTACAATGCTGCCTGTTCATCCTATATCGTGTATGATGATTGTAATGGAGCATCAGAAAAATTACTGTACTTACATCAATTGATCTTCTGATCTATTTATTTATACATAATAACTTATTTACACATGTTTCCCCTTGAAAGCAGCTGACCTTACCAATAACAAATGCCGAAACTTTGTTGCACGTAATCATTCTGATTCATGAATTTAATGTAAATATATTATGCTTGAATGTAGATTATATTCACGGTCGCAGGTCAAAGGCAAAATTCATCATTATCTTTAATATGTTCTCGGCTCCAATATGAGTGATTTTAAAAAGTAAAGTGTTACCTGTTCTGACAATAAAAAACTCAAAGGCTACCAACAACGCCATTTTTTCTCCACATACATGATTGACTTCTATGTCGTCTCCATTCTATCTCCAAGTCTTTTTCTCAAACTAGGTTGGGGTCGGCTTTAAGGCCCATATTTGAAAAGGTGTCTCAGTCGTGAATCTAGTCTTAAAACTATTTTCTGTAGAGATTTTATTATTGAACGTCACTTAAAACCACATTCACCGAACCATACTCGAGTAAGTGATAACTTATTTTAAAACGACGTTTATGTCGAAATCTTTACTCAGATATATATTTCGACAGATCTTTGTGATCTGTTCACGTTCATGTTTACTTAAGACAAGCTGAAACTAGTCTCAAGCAGTAATTTCTAGGGCATTTTAGGGGAAATGAATGTCTTTTACGGTGAGTTTGTGAACAATTATGAAAGATTTACTTTACTTTATTTACTAAAGAATTAATTATTTGGAGAGACTTATTAAATAATCAATTCACTTTACAATTAATTTACTTTAATTGATATCAAATTCACTGAAATTCTCATTTTACACACATAATGCATGTTCTAAATAAAATCACCACAACTTTTTGGTTCATGTTAAAAGTATAATATTATGTAAGTAATATAAATTTTAGAATTATAAAAATAAAAACATTGTTTGAGAATTCCACATGACAAGTGTTGATAAATAACTTGAATGTTCCGTTATAGCTGATAACTAGCCATTTTTATTTTATTATTTTTTATTTATTTATATTTAATATTTTTACATTGTTACACTAGCAAATAGCATACTTTTGTACAAATTCACAGAAATGATGTTTCTAAAAGATTTTTTTTAAATAATTAGCTGCGTAATACGGAATAATAATGTCTGTAAGTTCAAATCAATACTTGAAAGTAGTTTCAACTGAGTAAAACTTAAAACGCGTTTTCCAATAAGATTGTTAAGTTTTGATCTGCATTTAAAACTAGTTTCAGGCAATCAGAGTTCAACCGATACTTGAGAAGTCTTTTAAAATACAGGCCTAAGTCTACTACGATACGGTTGACTTCGATTTTTTCCCGGAGCAATTGCCATCAGACCTTCGCAACCCAAGTACAAGGCGATATCGAAGCTCTGTAAAAATACTTTTTTTAAGGCTTCAACTACCCGTAACGACTGCCACAGATGTTCCTATGGTAACCGGGAACGACGACTTAATGTGCTCTCCAAGGCACGGAGTGGTCTCAATATGTTAAGAATGGTCAGTCATCCATAAACTGACCTGATCCTGAACTGAATGTGTTAGCCTACTCGATTACCACGAGCCCCCATACAATAGGATGTCCTCAGGGATCGATGTTAGGTCCATACTTGTGGAATATCGGCTTCGACGATTTTCTTGCGATACCAATACCATCCAGATGTACTCTGAACGCGTATGCTGATGACGGCTTCTTACTGGTGGAATCTGATACTAGGGCGGGGCTTGAGAGATTAGCTAATAGATGTTTGAACTTGATATCTCAATGGGGTGAACGTAATCGCTTAACTTTTGCACCCAACAAAACCTTCCAGCTACTTTTAAACCTAAACCTCAAATCACCGCTAAGTATTAGATTTGACAAAGTTACTGTAAAAATAAAACCTCAGTGTGTTACCTAGGATTAGTTTTAGAAAGAAACTTTTCATTTATCGAACATATTAAAATAGTTAATGAAAGGTCTAAAAAGAGTTTCTGTGCATTGACAAGGATATTAACTGCGACATGGGGTCTCTCATTTAATACATTAAAGATCATATACGGAGCTACTTATTTAGGTTCTATGTGCTATGGTGCACTTGTATGGGCCGATAGGGCGACCGTAGGCGCTGTCCGTCGCAAACTGTTACAAGGCTAACGACTTGCACTGATATTCTTGTGCAAGGCATATAGGACGGTTAGCACTGAGGCTTTGCCGGTGTTGGCGAGTGTGCTTCCGGTCGATCTCGAGGTGCAGAGACGTGCAGCCATGTACTATACAAGACAACAAAACATGGAATGCGATTTTTTGGGCGCGCGGGATCGCGGTAAAATTACAAGATTGCTTCAACAGCAGTCCGATGTCTATAATGACCTCATAGATGAATGGCAACAACGCTGGGATAAATCATCCAAGGGACGCCATCTTTACCAATTCTTTCAGTCTGTTCGCGAACGGTTGTCGAGGACATGGCTTGAGGTGGATCATCACTATGAACAGTCTGCTCATCATATCCTCTGGGAATGTAGTCTTTGGTATAATGAACGTAATATAATGCTGAATAGCTTGCAGGTGACATCTGGGGTGGTATACTATGGGGATCTTGTGTCAACTAGGGTGAATTTCCGTGCGTTTAGGCGATTCTGCCATACATATTATAGAAATCAAATATAGCTCACGTAGGACCCGTAATATTTTGTGGCCGTGGTGCTTACCTGTTTAAAAGGGTGTATGCCCATTTTACTTCATTTTGTCTCCCGCTTTGCTAAGTAGGGAAGTGGATTTACTGTATTTCCAACTCCTCCAATTTTCTTCTGATTAATTTCGTTGCGGGTTCAAAGACAGTTTAATTTCTTCCTTGGACTTCCCGAGTGTCATAACTCGGTGTGTTCGTGGGTCACTGCTGTGGATCCTGGTGTACAGGAGTTATAGTGGTGGGCGTGTGGGTGGGATTAGTCCCAATAAAAAAAAAAGAGCCCCCATACAAACATAATTGACATTCCTTATAAATAGAACTGAATCTGAATATATTGTTCTAATGTACTAGTAACAGTACAATAAATATTTGAATGATGATAATATGCTTAGGGTTCAAAGGTAAACAAGAAACCATCATAATTTAGGAGTTTTTTTTATCCATGCAGCGATGGCTTATTACTATTTGAATGTAAACAACGCTGTTAAAACTGACTTCTAAATTAGATCATAACCATTAGGCGAGGTACTCGTAAGATATTAAAAATATAATAAACAGTCAATATCATTGTTACAGACAGTGAGTTTACTGTATTAAGATATCCTTATCGATTTAATTCAACCACGTTACTTTGTACTATACACTTCGCTCCATGTACGTAGTTTACGTACGTATGTACTTACCTATGCTATGGTTTCTTATATTAAATTGTGTATACTACGCTGTAGCTGGATTTTATAAGCATTTTATTTTTAATTCGTTTTCGCCCGTAGTTTTGCAAGCGTCAATTTTCGTGATCTAATTCATTTGCTATTCCAGGCTATACCCTATCTATATGCCTTTAATCCATCCATTTAGCCGATCGTGTGTGATTCAATAATAAGATAATAAAATATATAAGCCTAAATTATGAAACAAAGATGTGAATACCATTTTTCCTCTCTTTGTTTTTAAAGTAAAGCAGGTCATCAATGTACCTGTTCATAGCAGGCACATCTAATGGTCATCGGTAACCATTAGTATTTAACTACTGCAGCTACTATAATGCCTGCAACTTAACAGTTGATAGTTTTATAATGTGAGGTGGTAAGATACCACATGTCTGGAATAGAAAAACAGGACGAGAACTACAATAGCTTGAACAGGTCTGCAGGCCTACCATGATCTCTTATAGCGATCCAATTGCAGACCTAAACTGAATTGTTTTATTAATTGGTACTATGACGTCGAATAAGAACGCTCAGTTTCAAGTTACAATGTAAACAAATGAAACCGACCTAAACTGAATCGCTTTTCTTGTTTCACGCTTTGAAATTCGTACCATGACACCGCTTAGACATACTCGTATGTCCGTTCAGTGGTTAGAGAGGCAACCAGATTAGAGACCATAACTGACCATGTAACTAAAAACTTAGTAAATATTATAAATTGTCCTCTGTTTCGGGCGCTCCGCACACTGAATATCGTGCAGAGAAGATTGACATGTTTCATTGTTCGCTAAGTGAATTCACTAAGGCTATATATTCTAAGTTACAAATAAAAAAAAATAGTATTGCATTAGGTGTGTAACCTGTAATAATAGAAGTTTGATAATAAGTAAGTTTGATAATAAATTAAGAAATTAAATTAAAATTGCAGTATATTCCACCGTGTGGTGACGCATTAAGAATACGAAGTGTCACCACCCCTATTTATCAAATGGGAGTCGTAAGAGCCGACTAAGGCGGCAAATTGCACAGGACAACAGCACAGCCATGAGAATATAAACTTAATACCAACTCTTTACCAACCTGTCTGGCCAGTGCGATTTATTAAGCCAAAACCTTTCTAAGGCTCCTTTGTAAAGAGAGGCCTATGTCCTGCAGTCGACTATTAATGATGATGATGAAATTGTTACATAACCTTTCATATAGCAGTTTTTTTTCATACTAAAAACATTGAGACTGTGTGTTAACATTGTACATTAAGTAAGTGCAATATCCTCCTACCTACCACGAGTAGTAATTAGGGTCAAATAATACGATCT